TGGGTTTGGAGCCTGGGTTTGGGGTCTGGGTTTGGGGTCTGGGTTGGGGTCTGGGTTTGGAGCCTGGGTTTGGGGTCTGGGTTTGGGGCCTGGGTTTGGGGTCTGGATTTGAGGTCTGGGTTTGGGATCTGGGTTTGGGATCTGGGTTGGGGTCTGGGTTTGGGGTCTGGGTTTGGGGCCAGCGTGGCCACCCCGGTGGGGGGGACGGCCCCCCGGGGGCAGGGGGCGCCCTGCGAGGGAGTACTCCAGCCCCTCCCTGCTCCTTGCAGACGACGGCAGCGGCGGCCCCCTCATGAGCCCCCTGTCCCCGCGCTCGCTCTCCTCGAACCCGTCGTCGCGCGACTCCTCGCCCAGCCGCGACCCGTCCCCCGTGTGCGGCAGCCTGCGGCCCCCCATCGTCATCCACAGCTCGGGCAAGAAGTACGGCTTCAGCCTGCGCGCCATCCGCGTCTACATGGGCGACAGCGACGTCTACACGGTGCACCACGTCGTCTGGGTGAGCGGGGCGCAGCGGGCGCAGCAGGGACCTGGGTTCGAGTGCGGCTCTGCCCAGGCCCAAGTCCCTTCCTTCTCAGAGCCGCGTTTCGGCCCGGCTGGGGCCACGTGGTCCTGCTCGTGGTCGGGGAGGTCGGGTGAGAGACAGCGGCCGACAGACAGACAGACAGACAGAGACCCTGAGTGCACACTAAGCTCCCAGCTCCGTTCAGGGCACGATGGGCACCTGACCCCTAGCGCCAGGGTGCCAGTGCCCCCGCCAGGCCCGGCCCCTGCCCACTGCGCTCCCTAAACAGCCCCCAAGGTCAGGGAAACTGAGGCAGCAGTTTGCTGGGGGGCCCCCCCGCAGCCCAGCCGGCCGGGCAGGGGTCCCGGATGCGGGCGGGCCTGGGACTCAGCGCGCCCCCGCCCGCAGAGCGTGGAGGAGGGAAGCCCCGCGCAGGAGGCGGGCCTGCGCGCCGGCGACCTCATCACGCACATCAACGGCGAGTCGGTGCTGGGGCTGGTGCACATGGACGTGGTCGAGCTGCTGCTGAAGGTGGGCCCCGCGCCCGTCCCGCGGCCGGGGGAGGGGCGCGTCCCCGGGGGTGGGGGGGTGGGTCCCCGCCGGCCCGCGGAGAGGGCGCACGGCGACCCGCGCTCCCTCCCGCCCGCCCGCAGAGCGGCAGCAAGATCTCGCTGCGGACCACGGCCCTGGAGAACACGTCCATCAAGGTGGGCCCCGCGCGCAAGAGCGTGGCCAAGGGCCGCATGGCGCGCAGGAGCAAGCGCAGCCGCCGGCGCGAGACCCAGGACCGGTGAGCGGCGGGGGCGCGGGGGTGGGGCGGGGCTTGGCGAGATGGGGCGGAGCTTGGTAGGGGGCGGGGCTTGGCGGGCCGCAGGGGGCGGGGTTTAGCGGGACAAGGGGGAGAGGCTTGGCAGGACCCGAGCTGGGCTTTGGTAGGATGGGAGGGGTAGGGCGGGGCTTGGCAGGACAGGGATGGGGCGGGGCTTTACGCGGTGGGGCGGGGCTTGGTAGGGGCGGGGCTTAGCGAGATGCGGGGAGGGGCGGGGCTTGGTCGGGGCAGGGCTTGGTGGGAGGAGGGCGGGCCTTGGCAGGACGTGTGAGGGGGGGGGGCGGGGCTTAGCGCAGACACCAGGGAGGGGTGGGGCAGGGCTTGACAGGACAGGCCGAGAGCTTGGCAGGGGCGGGGCTTAGCGAGACGTTGTGGGGCAGGGCTCGACAGGACGGCGGCACCTTGGCGGATGGGCGGTGGCTTAGCGAGATGTGGGGCAGGCTTGACAGGACGGGGGTGTTGGTTAGTGTGGGAGGGCGGCTTTGGTAGGGGCGGCAGGGCTTGGTGGGAGGAGGGGCGGGCCTTGGTCAGGACGGCGCGGGGGGGGCGGGGCTTACGAGATCACCCCAGGGGAGGGTGGGGCAGGGCTTGACAGGACGGGGCGGAGCTTGGCAGAGGCTCGGGTGTTCTTAGCGAAGACATGGGGAGGGCCTTTGATCCAGGACGGGCTTTGGATTAAGCTGTGGGGAGGGGTGGGGCTTTTGGTAGGGCGCAGGCTTGGTGGAGAGGGCGGGGCTCGCGGGACGCTGCCGGGAGGGGGCGGGCGGAGGATTGGACGCGCGGGGCTGCGGGGCGGGCTTGGCGGGAGGGGCGGGCCCGGGGCTTGGCGGGAGGGGCGGGGCGGGGCGGGGGCTGGGATCCGAATCCCCGCGGTTTTCTCCCCAGGCGGAAGTCGCTCTTCAAAAAGATCTCCAAGCAGTCGTCCGTGCTGCACACCAGCCGCAGCTTCTCTTCGGGGCTGCACCACTCGCTGTCGTCCAGCGAGAGCCTGCCCGGCTCGCCCACGCACAGCCTGTCCCCCAGCCCCACCACGCCCTGCCGCAGCCCAGCCCCCGACGCCCCCGCAGGTGGGTGCGCGCCGTGCGGGCGCCCCGGGAGCCAGGGCTGGGGACAGGGAGGTGACCGCGAGGGCCTTCTCGGCCTCCTGGAGTCCGAAAGGCAACCGGGGCTGGTCAGAGGGAGGCGCAGGGGCAGGAAGGGCGGGCCCAGCCGTGGGAACGTTGTGAGCAGCCGCCCCCCTCCCCCGAGAGGCAGGAGGGGCCTGGAGGCTCAGAAGGGTCTGGTGGGCTTTGAGGAATGAATCGGGCCAGAGCTTGGGCTTAAATTAGGGGGCTTTAGGGAGCCATGGAGGGTGCGTGAGGGAGGACATGGTTTGAACCTCGGAAAGATCATTCCGGGACGGGAAAGGATGGTGATTTGGCCTGACCTCAAGGGTCCCCAGCCTGCAAGAGACAGCCAGCCACAGGGTTAGGCTCAGGCTGCAGAGAGGGACAGGCTAGGGCAATTCAGAGGGAAGGCTTCCTGGAGGATGGGGCATAGGAGCTGGGGCTTTGATGGATGAGTAGGAGTTCACCAGATCTACGCCAAGGCAACGGCCCTGGGCAGGAGGCAGAAAAGCCAAGCACTGACCCCTGCCTGTCGCCCGCAGACACCGCATCGCCACCCAGCGCATCCCCAAGCTCCAGCAGCCCCGCCTCTCCGGCCGCCGCCGGCCACACCCGCCCCAGCTCCCTGCACGGCCTCGCCGCCAAGCTCGGGCCACCCCGCCCCAAAACCGGCCGTCGCAAGTCCACCAGCAGCATCCCGCCGTCCCCGTTGGCCTGCCCGCCCGTGTCCGCGCCCCCTCCGCGCTCGCCCTCGCCCCTGCCCGGGCACCCGCCCGCACCCGCGCGCTCCCCGCGGCTGCGCCGGGGCCAGTCGGCCGACAAGCTGGGCACGGGCGAGCGGCCGGACGCCGAGCTGGTGGTCATGCGGCGGCTGCACCTGTCCGAGCGCCGGGACTCCTTCAAGAAGCAGGAGGCCGTGCAAGAGGTGAGCTTCGACGAGCCGCTCGAGGAGGCCGCCGGGCCTCCCGCCTCGGTGCCGCAGATCGCCGTGCAGGGCGCCGAAGCCGCGCCGGGACCCGCCGGGAGAGACTGACCCCTCCCTCCGCACCCGGCCTCTTCCCGGCCTCCGCGTGCTTCCCGTGCCACGTCCGCTCCCCTGAGTCGCGCCTGGGTGGAGGCCGAGCCTCGGGCACGGCACGCCTGGAAGGTCACCGAGAAGCCACGTCCGTCCTGGCTGGGAAGCGGGGGGACAGCACCTCGCTCGCGTTCCGATGTAGGTCTGGGGCGTCCCAGGGGACAGGCGTGCGGGGCGAGGGGCCGCTGTAAATAGCAGCAAATCCCTGCAACTAATTTATTCCTTTTTGTAAGCGACAGGGGACCGAGCCGCCCCTGGGGACGCGCCCGCCCCGGGCACCGGGACCCCGTGCGCAGCCGCGGCCTCCCCGGGCCGTAAAGGGAGCGCTTTGGACGGGTCCTGCGCGTGTGTTTTCTAGTTTTTCTGTACCTTTTACGTTTTTCGTGTTACCTGAGCCCTTCCCCGACGCCCCGCCCTCGCCGCCAATGTGAGGGCATGAAGCCGAGCTTACCCGTGCGGGCCCCGCATGGCTGTGACTTGGACAGTCCCTAAGCGACCCGCCTCCCCCAAGGCCACTACCCACAGTCACACCTGCCGTCCCCCAGGCCGGCCTTGCTCCCTGGAGTCTGCCTCCGACCCTGCAGGCCTCGGCCTGGAGGCCTGGGTGTGGGGGCTGGGGCTTTGACGGATGAATAGGTGTTCGCCAGACCTAAGCAGAGGTGTCGCGCACTCCACGAGTGGGTGCTGGGACGCCCCAGGAGGCCCGGGCCTCACAGGGCGCTGCCGAGGCAGGAGAGGAGGGTCCCCCCCCCAATGAGGTTCCGCGTGTTCGAGGCCCGCCAGGCGAGCCCTCGACCGGGCAGTGTCCGAAACGCCCCCTCTCCGTGCGTCAGGAGCCCCTCTGGGGCAGAGGGAGGAAACCCAGTCGCACCCCGAGTTTGAATCTCAGCTTCACTGTGTGGCTCTGGGAAAACGGCTTTCCCACTCTGTGCCTCAGTTTCCTTGTGTTTACAAGACTAATCCCAACGACTGTGTATTAAGCGCCTACTGTGTGCCGAGCGCTTTTACTCGTGGCTTCTCCCTCAGCCAGCCGTGGGAAGGCGGGAGGCCGGGCGGCGAGGGCGAGGCCGGCCCCGCGATGGCCCGCGGAGAGCCGGGGCGGAATGGTGGCGCTGCCACCGAGGGGGCCTGAGCGCAGGGGCCGGCGTCGGGCGCAGCAGGCTCCAGCCCCAGCTCTGCCCACGGGCATGCTATGCTGGTGGCGGCCGGTGCGATCGCTTCGCCCCGCGGTGAGGGAGCTCTGCACGCCCACAGCCCGCTCTGCACCCTTTCCCGCGCCCCCTGCCCAGCGCCGCCTGCTGTTGCAGGGTAGACCGTGGCTGTGCATGACCTGCCCTGTCCTTCCATCCCGGAGCTGGCAGTGAATAAAAGCTCGTATTTACAAAGATGAAGTCCGATGTCTGGATTTGCGAGGGCTTGAGAAAGGGGTAAGGGGGGGGAGTGGGTTTTGAGGGCTGCGTAGGAGTTCGCCACCGAGGTTCTCCCTGATGCCCTTCTCCGGTTCTGGTGTCCCGCTAGCGCCGCCCTCCAAAGCTTCCTCCGGACACCCGTCTGGGGCCCAGAGCTACGTTAGTAACAAATTAAGTTGTGTCCACGCTGTGTCCATGCCACCCTGCCGTAAAACTTCGGCCCCGACCCGGCCCAGCTCAGGCCAAGCGCGACCCGTTACTTCCGGGGCTGCGCGCAGGCTCAGAAACGTCCCCGGCCGCGTCCCCGTCTCCGAGCGCCTTCGGCTGTTTCCGGAAACAATCTCCGGCATCCGGGCTCCCGCGGGCCCAGCCGCTCCCGGAGGCCACGCCCTGCTTCCGGACGCTGCGGGTTGCCACGGAGACGCCTTCACCCCTGGCTTTTCCCGGACCCCGGCTCGCCCGGCCGTCTCCCAAGAGGCTCAGCCTTCTGTGGCGAGCGCCCTCCTGTCCGCCGAGCGTCGGGTCGCGTCCGGTGCCCTCCGGAGCCGTCCGTGCCTCGGCGGCGTCCCGAAGCCGGCGGCCGCCTCCCGGTCGGAGCCCCCAAGGCTTCCATTTGCGACTGCGCACGCTCGGGTCTTTCCAGAAACGCTCCGCGCCCCCGGGGCTCCGCCGCTGTTCCCCAGCCCGGCGGTTGCCCGTTCGGCCATTTCCGGAGTCGCCGCGCGTCCCTACGCCCCGCCGAGCCGACGGCGCTCGGCCGTTCCCGGAAACGCTCGGCCGTCGCAGGGCGCGCTCGGGCGCTAGTCCCGCGGGATCACGTTCGGCTGTTTCCGGAGCCGCTCGGGCCCTCCCGCAGCTCTAGGCGCCGCCTCGGCCGCGGCGGCCCGGCCCGGCCCGAATGCGTTCGGGCGTTTCCGCCGGGGCCGGGCCGGGCCGCTCGGAACCGTGGCGGCGGCGGAGCCGGGGATCCCGCGGCTGCGGCGACGGCTGCCGCTGTGGGGCACTGGGCCGGGCTTCGGTCGGCGTGACCCGGCGGCCGCGGCGGCGGCGCCGGACTAGTGAGTGCGGGACTGGCTCGGCGGGAGGGGCCGCGGTGCCCGGGTTGCGCCTGCGGCGGGGGCGGGCGGCGGCGGGCCGGGGCGCGGTCGGGGGCGGCGAAGGCGCGGGCGTCGCTGGACACGGCGCGCCGCCCGGACGCGCGGGGCCGAGCGGGCCGCGGTCGGTGGGCGGCGGGCGGCCGCGGCGCCTGCAGGCGGGGGGCTGCGGGGGGGCGGGGCGGGGCGGCGAGGCGCTGCGAGGGCATCATGGGTGGGACAGGTGGCGACCGCTTCGTTTTGGGACTGGGCCACAGTCTGCGGTGAGCGCGCGTCTGCGTGAGCGCGCAGGCCGGCGCCCCACCCCGGAGCCCGCGCCCGGCCTGCCCCGCCCCCCGCCGGCCGTCCGCGGGGCGCGATGCCCGGGCGCGCTCACCGGCGCGCGCGCGCGCGCGCGGACGAGTGCGCACGGGGGCGGGCAGATCCCGGCCGCCGGTTTCCCGGGCAGCCCCTCTCCGGGCCTCAGTTTCCCCACCTGTAGAATGGAGGCGACAGGGGCCGGGGAGTGGGTCAGTCGGGGCGCCCGGGAATGTGGAGCCCCTGCTCGCTGCCCGGACACCGACTGGGGCCCGAATGAGGTCCAGGCGCTCCCCTGGCCCTCGAGGGCCTTCGGAGGTGGCGTCTGTCTTACAGCCACCGAGCTCCCGGCAAGCGACTTCCCGCTGCCCAGCGCGCCCGCCTGCCCTCCGTGATGACCCCTCTCTGGGAAAGCGCACCCCGCCCCAGCCCGCCCTCGCGGGAGGCCTGAGCCCGCAGGGCTGGGCTGGGCAGGCGCTGTGCCGGCTCTGCCTCCCCAGGCTGGGGCTCCTGCCCCCGCCCTCCCCTCCGCCTTCTCTGGGCTCCTTGTCCTGCCCCGGGCTAAGGTCCCCGGTGGCTCTGCCCAGCCCCTCCTCCCTCCACGTTTTGCACCTACCGTGGGTCCCAGACTGAGCCAGGCTGGGGACACGAACACCTACCCCAGCCAACCCCCGGGTCCCCCACCACCACCTGCCTGCAGAGCTAGAGGGCCATTTGCTTGTGCCGGGCCCCTGCCTGGACGTCCTTCCCTACCCTTGCTCAGGGGGCCCGACCCCTCCACGGGGCTCCCAAGGTACGACGTGAAAGTGTCCCTCATTGCACCCTCCCCACTCTGGGTATAACCATCTGGCCGTGTGGCTGCTGCCCTGGAGTTGGGCGGATCTGGGTTTCATTCCTGGCTTCTTCCTGGCCCCCTGAGCGGCCCTACAGTTTCCCTGTAGGGCCTCAGTTTCCCCATCTCTCTAACAGGGGCGTTGAAGAGCTTGCTTACTCATCATGCTCAAGAGCAGGTTCTTGGGAACTCTGCTCCCAACAGCCCTAAGGGAGGGCTGTTAGTGCGCCCATTCTACAGATGGGGAAGCTGAGGCCCGGGAGGGCAGGGACTGGCCCAAAGGTCACCCAGCCATTCAGGGAATCCCACACCTGGATTTGGGCCCCTCTCTGTGCGAGGATTGGGGGGGGGCGGGCCCGCCTAACGCTGCGCTCCCCGCCTCTCTCGTCCCTAGGTCAGCGTCCTCGGCCAGTGGGCATGGTGGCGGCCTGCGCCCTCGCCTGGCGCAGCCAGAAGAGCCGCCGGCCGGGGGTGCCAATGGCTCCCCGCGTGAGGGAGTGAGCGGCGGCCCCCCCCCGCCCCCCGCCGATGGGGGTCGTAGCGGCCCAGGACTGAGGCCGCGCCGCCGACCGCCAGGTGACGCATGGTGCACGGAGTGACCAGCGGCCCTGCCAGGGTGATGGCAAGAGGGGCGTGAGCGGCCCTCGAGGTCACCTGTGACTGCTGCAGACACAGGTCCCAGCGCCCCCGGCCAGCCACCCGACCTTCCCGGCCACGCCCCCGGCGGCGGATGGGGCCGGTGGGGCCCCAAGGCGCCGCGTGACCCACCGTCCGGCCCGCGCCCCACCCCACCCAACCCGGCCATGGCGGGCGCCGAGGGCTTCCAGTACCGGGCGCTGTACCCGTTCCGCCGGGAGCGGCCCGAGGACCTGGAGCTGCTGCCGGGCGACGTGCTGGTGGTGAGCCGCGCGGCGCTGCAGGCGCTGGGCGTGGCCGAGGGCGGCGAGCGCTGCCCGCAGACCGTGGGCTGGATGCCCGGCCTCAACGAGCGCACGCGGCAGCGGGGCGACTTCCCCGGCACCTACGTGGAGTTCCTGGGGCCCGTGGCCCTGGCCCGGCCCGGCCCGCGCCCACGGGGCCCGCGCCCACTGCCCGCCAGGCCGCGCGACGGGCCCCTGAGCCAGGTGAGCAGCAGGCGGGAGCTCTGGAAACGGGGGTGGGCGGTCCCCTCAGACCCTCGGTCTCTTCTTCTTTACGGGGAGGCACTGGGACCCGTCCCAGGGGAGGGGGGATAGGCACCTCTGGTCGTTTGACAAGTGTTGAGGCTCGCTGTTGTCCAGGGCTGGGCTCAGCAGCACCTGCGCGTTGGGTGACTAGGCGGTGGCACACGCAGTGGGCACAGGGCAAAGGCTGTGCGGCGGGAACGCGGGAAGGAAACAAGGGCTGGGCCTCGGGGACTAGGAGGGCTGAATGTTGAAGACAACGGAGAGTGTTCAGTAGGATTCAGAGGCTCGACCTAGCTTCAGCCTGCATTTTGCAGGCTGGGTCCCTCAAAGAACGCCCTCTGAGGCCGGGCGCGGTGGCTCACGCCTGTGATCCCAGCTCTCTGGGAGGCTGAGGCGGGAGGATCGTTTGAGCTCAGGAGTTCACGACCAGCCTGAGCAAGAGCGAGACCCCGTCTCTACTATAAATAGAAAGAAATTAATTGGCCAACTAATATGTATATAGAAAACATTAGCCGGGCATGGTGGCGCGTGCCTGTGGTCCCAGCTACTTGGGAGGCTGAGGCAGGAGGATCGCTTGAGCCCAGGAGTTGGAGGTTGCTGTGAGCGAGGCTGATGCCACGGCACTCATTCTAGCCTGGGCAACAAAGCGAGACTCTGTCTCAAAAAAAAAAAAGAACGCCCTCTGTTACCCGGATTTCACCTGGCTTCCAAAGTGAGGGAGCCATAAAGAGGCAGGATGCTCAGTGGAGGCCGGGTGGCGCTGTGGGGCGTGAGGACCCCGAGTCCCTCCCCACAGACCCCCGGCCACCCCCACTGCCCAGGGCATGCTGGCAGTGGAGAATGGGGTCACCGCGTATGTGCAAGAATTGCTGAATGCTAGGCAGGGCGTGGGGGGTGCGGGTTCCAGCTGGGGAAACTGAGGCTCGGGTTGGGAGGAGGAGGCCGAGGGGGGCTGAGGTCCCTGCACGGCCTGGTCCGACAGTCTTGAGAGCAGACCGGGCGACTCTGCACTCGGGCAGCCACCCAGTGAGGCCAGGGCCCTGGGGGGTGCCAGGCCTGCCGTGTGCCAGGAGGCTGCCCAGAGCGGCCCCGGCGGGAGCCCGCAGCGTGGGGCAGGACACGGGCGGCCGGCGGCGGCGTCTGGCGTCTCCGCGCCTGTCCGGGCTCCCGGCCAGAGTCTGCCTCTGCCCCTGGTAACAGCCACCTGCCTGCCTGGCCTTTGTCCAGCCTCCACACACGTGGCCCAGCCCCACCCTCCAGACCTTCCAGGGCTCCGTGACCTCGCCCAGGGCCCGCCCTCGCCGGGCCTCGGTTTCCTCATCTGCACGCGGCAGCCATGGTCCCTTGGCACCTTAGTCCCTGGGCCACCCAGCAGGCCGAGCGGGGACCCCACGCCGCCGGGCCTCGGTTTCCTCATCTGCGCACGGCAGCCGTGTTCCCTTGGCACCTTAGTTCCTGGGCCACCCAGCAGGCCGAGCAGGGACCCCACGCCTCCGGGCCTCGGTTTCCTCATCTGCACACGGCAGCCGTGGTCCCTTGGCACCTTAGCCCTGCGACAGCCCCTGGGCTGCCCAGCGCGCCGAGCGGGGACCCCAAGCCGCAGGGCCTGCCCCGGCTGTGCACCCACAGGGAGGCGGGCTGTGCACCCACAGGGAGGCGGCTGCCTCTCGGAGCCCCGTCCCCCATCTGCGAAATGGGGGTGGCGCCTGTCCCCACGGGCCCTGCCTCCCCGCCCCGCGAACCAATCACAGGCACCTTTCAGGGCCGACTCTCCAGCTCGCAGGCCGGAGCCCTGCCCGCGTCCTGTCCCCTGCTGCCTTTCCTCCACCTGGCGCGGCACTCGGGGCGGCCCGCAGGCCCCGGCTTGCCCCCGCCGCGCGCCAGCGCGTCCTCGCCCAGGGCCAGAGTCGCCTCAGATGGTGGCTGTGCAGGCAGAGCGCGGCGGCACACGATGGGCCCTGTTGGGTGGGGAAGGAAGGGCCGGGAGGGCGCTGCGCCCCGAGCTTCTGGCGCCCGCTGCGGGGGGCTCAGGGTTTGCAAAAGAGGGGGCGCGGTTTTTCAGAAGCAAAAGGACTCAGGCAACGGGGAAAGGTCCTTGGAATGGGCCGTTCAGGTCCGCACAGGCGTGTTTTCCTTGTAGCCCTTTTCAACCGCTGTTGTGTTTGCCTCGAGAAGGGAGTGGGGATGCCCTCAGCCCGTTTTTCAGTTGAAGAAACCGAGGCCCAGAGAGGGCGGGTCCTGTGCCCGAGGTAGCACAGCAGGCCGTACGGTGCAGCCCAAAACCTGCTGCGTGAGTTTCAGCGGCTGCTGCAAGGAATCGCCACGAACCGGGTGGTTTCGAACAAGAGAAATGTGTCCCGTCCTGTTTCTGGAGGCCGGAGGGCCCCGACTTGGGGACCTTGCTCCCTCTGGTGGCGCCAGGGGAGGGACCTTCCTCGCTCTGTCCGGTTTTTTTTTTTTTTGAGACAGAGTCTCGCTCTGTTGCCCAGGCTAGAGTGAGTGCCGTGGCGTCAGCCTCGCTCACAGCAGCCTCAGACTCCTGGGCTCAAGCGATCCTCCTGCCTCAGCCTCCCGAGTAGCTGGGACTACAGGCGTGCGCCACCGCGCCCGGCTCATTTTTTCTATATATATTAGTTGGCCAATTAATTTCTTTCTATTTCTAGTAGAGACGGGGTCTCGCTCTTGCTCAGGCTGGTTTCGAACTCCTGACCTCGAGCGATCCACCCGCCTCGGCCTCCCAGAGAGCTACTGGCTGTCTCCTTAACGAGACACCCGCCGCAGGGTGTGCGGCCCACCCCCGACCCGGCCTCTCCTAGAGACCCTCACCTGCAGAGGCCCTCTTGCCAAACAAGGCCGCGGCCAGGGGCCCCGGGGTGGGGGCCTGCGCGGATCATTCGGAGGTGCGCCCTCCAGCCCTCGACACCGGGTCTCTAGTTTTGCGGACTCCGGGCACTTCAACCCAGAAAACCGTCTCCGGTCACTGCGGCCCAGGCCCTCTGGCCGCCTGGGCTGGGCCCTGCCTCCCGCCGCCCAGGCCGAGGCGCAGCCGGCAGCGAGAGGGGCTGGGGTCCTTCCAGAGACCCCACCAGTGCGCTGTGCCCCCCTGCCAGGCCTTGCCCTCCCCGACCTGCCGGAGCAGTTCTCCCCTCCCGATGCGGCCCCTCCTGTCCTGGTGAAGCTGGTGGAGGCCATTGAGCGGGCAGGTGAGCCCCTGCGTCCCCCTTGCTTGCCTCTAGGCACGGGCGGGTCACCCCCTCACCGGGCTGCATGGGAGGGGCCGCGCCTGGACGCGCTGGGCCTCCAGGTTGCGCGGGGAGGGCGAGGAGGGACCAGGCCACTGCACGCGCTGCTCCCCTGTCCCTTCCGAAGCGACACCGCGGGGCGCGCGCGTGGCCAGCCCAGGCCCCGCGGGGTCGGGGCAGCACTCGAGAGCCCGCTCACCTGTCCCCACTTGTCCCCCAGGGCTGGACGGCGAGCCCTACCACAGGCCGGAGCTGCCCGCCCCGCGCACAGGTTAGGGGCGGCATCCGGGGAAGGGGCGGGGAGGGCGGGCGGGCCCAGTGCGAGCCCGCGGGACGTGTCCCCTCGCCCGCAGACTGGTCCCTGAGCGACGTGGACCAGTGGGACGCGACGGCCCTGGCAGACGGCATCAAGGGCTTCCTGCTGGCTCTGCCCGCACCCCTCGTGACGCCCGAGGCCTCGGCCGAGGCGCGCCGGGCCCTGCGGGGTGAGCCTGGTGGGCAGCCCGGGTTGGGGGGCGGGCGGGCGGGCGGGCGGGCGCCCGGCTCACTGCCCGCCGTCTGTCCGCAGAGGCCGGGGGGCCCCTGGGGCCGCTGCTGGAGCCCCCGACGCTGCCGCTGCACCGCGCGCTCACGCTGCGCTTCCTGCTGCAGCACCTGGGCCGCGTGGCCCGCCGCGCCCCCGCCCTGGGCCCCGCGGTGCGGGGCGGCGCCACCTCGCGCCCGCTGCTGCTGCGCGCGCCGCCGCGCGCGCGATCGTCGCCCCGCCCGGGGCGGCGCGGACGGGGAGGGCGGGCCTGCCCCGGCGCGGAGGCGGGTTTCGGTGGATGTGCTTGTCGAGTGGCGGGCACTGGGCCATAAGAAAGGCTGTGGTGTGGCTGAGGCGGGCTGCTTGGAGTGGGGTGGGCCTGGCCATAACTGTTTGTCGGGGCGGGGCTTGCTCGTTGTTTTTTAGTGGGGGCCTGGGCCATAAGAAGGCTGTGTGTGTCTGGCTGGGGCGGGCTGCTTGAGGGGCGGGCCTGGCCATAAGAAGGCTGTGTGTGTCTGGCTGGGCGGGGCTTGCTCGGAGTGGGTGGGGCCTGGGCCATAAGAAGGCTGTGTGTGTCTGGCTGGGGCGGGGCTTGCTTGGAGTGGGCGGGGCCTGGGCCATAAGAAGGCTGTGTATGTCTGGCTGGGGCGGGGCTGTTCGGATGTCGGGGGCCTGGCCATAAGAAGGCTGTGTGTGTCTGGCTGGGGCGGGGCTTGTTCGGAGTGGGTGGGGCCGGCTATTAAGGAAGGGCTGGTGTCGTCTGTGCTGGGGCGGGGCTTGCTCGGAGTGGGCCGGCCTGGGCCATAAGAAGGGTGTGGACGTGGCCGAGGGCGGGACAGAACGGCCGGGCTGTGATGGAGAGGAAGCGAGAAGGGGAGGGGATATAGGGTAGGCACCTGGGTGCGGCCTGCACCTTCACTTCTGCTTACCCCCCCTCAGGTGCACTGCGTAAGTGTACGAGCATTTGCGGAGCGCTTACTGTATGTCCCTACACGGGAGTTGGCCTCTCACACCTGCCTGCGTCCCCTTCCCCTCCTCCCTGCGCATCCCTGCACGCAGACGCGCCCCTAGGTGCGCGGGCGCGTGCGGAATAGTGCGCATCGCGTGGGCGGGCAGGCCCTACCCGCTCGTCACCAAGCGCCCTTGCCCCCAGGAGCGAGCCCAACGCGGACTTTCCCGCGCTGCTGGTGGAGAAGCTGCTTCAGGAGCATTTGGAAGAGCAGGAGGTGGCGCCCCCAGGTGACCCCCCTTTGTAGTGTCGGCATTTCTTACCGCTCGGGGTCCGTGAATGCGGATTCCAGGGCCCTGCTGGTGTCGGTAGGCCTGGCTGCAGTGGGGGCGGCCACGGCTCACAGTCGGTGGTCAAGACGCATTTATTTTCCCGTCCCCCAGCGCTGCCGCCTAAGCCCTCCAAGGCGAAGCCGGCCCCCGCGGGCCTAGCCAATGGCGGGAGCCCGCCCTCCCTGCAAGACGCCGAGTGGTACTGGGGGGACATCTCCAGGTAGGGCTGCTGGCCTGGGGCCAGGGACCGAGGAGGCGCCACGGGTGGGCAGGGTCCCCAGGTGGCAGCCGCAGCCCCGCGTGTCCCCGCAGGGAGGAGGTGAACGAGAAGCTCCGGGACACGCCCGACGGCACCTTTCTGGTCCGGGACGCGTCCAGCAAGATCCAGGGGGAGTACACGCTGACCCTCAGGTGGGGGCCTGGCCCCGCGGGGAGGGGGGGGCAGGGCCAGAGGTCACAGAGACCAGGCGCTCAGAGGGCGTGGGAGGCGTGACTGGGGCCAGGTGTGGGCGCCCTGTGGGTGCCAACGCCCCCTGTCCCCGCTCCCTCCCCAGGAAAGGCGGGAACAACAAGCTGATCAAGGTCTTCCACCGCGACGGGCACTACGGCTTCTCGGAGCCGCTCACCTTCTGCTCCGTGGTGGACCTCATCAGCCACTACCGCCACGAGTCGCTGGCGCAGTACAACGCCAAGCTGGACACGCGGCTCCTCTACCCAGTGTCCAAGTACCAGCAGGTCCGTGCCGGGGTGGGCGCCGGGGAGGCCAGCGCGGGGGAGGCCGGCGCGGGGGAGGCCGGCGCCCGGGCCTCAGTGTCCCCCAGGAGGCCGCACGGCTCCCTGACGCCGCCGGGTGTCCCCAGGACCAGCTGGTCAAGGAGGACAGCGTGGAGGCGGTGGGCGCCCAGCTCAAGGTCTACCACCAGCAGTACCAGGACAAGAGCCCGAGTCGCCGCTCGTACGCGGAAGTCCACGCGCGCTCCCAGGTACCCGGGCCCGCAGGGGAACTGAGGCGGGGGTGCGCAGTCTCCGGGCGGCGCGCCGCCGCCCACCGGGGGCGCGCGATGGCACCGTTCCGGTGCGAGCCGGCCTGGGCCGGGGCTGCCCTCTGTGTGGGTTTTACATGCCGGGGAACGGCCGGGCGCGGTGGGCTCACGTCTGTACATCCTGGCTCGTGGGCTGCTGAGGCGGGAGGCTTGCCTCCGGTCAGGAGGTTCGACCCGCCTGAGCCCACAGAGCGAGACCACCGGCTCTACTCAAATGAAAGAAACATACTTGGCCAACTAATATATATAGAAAAAACTGAGCTGCGGCCCTGGTGGGCGCATGCCTGTCAAGTCCCGGCTACTCGGGCAGGCTGGGCACGGAGGAATCCGCTTGCAGGCCAGGGCAGTCCCTGAGGTTGCTGGTGAGCCGGGCCCTTGACGCCACGGCACTCCCTCTAGCCCGGAAACAGAGGCGAGACCTGTCTCAAAAAAAGAAAAAAAGGAAAAGAAAATAAAACGACATGGGAAGCCAGACCCCGGGGGGCCGTCTCAGGGGAGCCTCTGTCTCAGTCTGAGCCTCGGTTTCCCCTTCTGCAAAGCGGAGCCACGGACCTCGACTCCTCTGGTCAGAACGTCACTCGAATCATGTGACGTAGGCCTGGGGAGGTGGTCACGGGAAACGGGCATCTTCTACAACAGGGAGCCTTGTCACGCGGGGGCCGCGTTAATGAGCTGCTTTTGCAAGTGGGGAGGGCGCAGATTGGGACTGAACTTCCCGTCTCCGGCCCGGAGCCGCCCAGTCCCTCCACAGCGCCCAGGGGCGGGCTCCCCGTCCCCTTTCTCCTGGTGGGCTAGCCGAGGCTCTCGGTGGCCCAGACACCCGTTCAGGATCCGTTAGGAACACGGTGACCTCAGAAGTGGCTCAGGCCACCTCAGCCTCAGTTTCCGATAATAGTTCTTTGTGGGAGAGGGGGGTGCTTCTGGGAGGTCCTGCGGCGTGCGCTAATACATGGGAAGTACCTAGTGAACGTGGCGGCCGGGTTTATCGTCAGTCCTCGGCAGCGTCAACAGGGCCCGGTGGTTGGAGGTTCCCATGGCAAGATGTAAAAGGGGGAGGAGGTTTGGGTAGGGGTTTTTTTTTTTTTTTTTTTTGACAGAGTCTCCACTCTGTCGCCAGGCCTAGAGTGAGTGCCGTGGCGTCAAGCCCTCGCCACAAGCAACCTCAATCTCCCGGGGTTCAGCATCCTCCTGCCTCAGCCTCCCGAGTAGCTGGGACTACAGGCATGCGCCACCATGCCCGGCTCATTTTTTGTATATATATTTTTTTTTAGTTGGTCAATTAATTTCTTTCTATTTTTGGTAGAGACGGGGTCTCGCTCAGGCTGGTTTCGAACTCCTGACCTTGAGCAATCCTCCCGCCCCGGCCTCCCAGAGTGCTAGGATGACAGGCGTGAGCCACCACGCCGGCCGGGTAGTGGGGTTTTGAAGGCTGAATAGGAGTTCGTTTGGTGCAGCAGGAGTGAGAAGAATGACACTCTCAGTAGAAGGAACAGCTTGAACAGAGTCTCAACGTCAGAGTTGGGGTCTGCCTTCACCCCTCAGGAGGGACTTTTGGGGAGCGCCAGGAGGTGCTAAGATGCAGCCCCTCCCCCAGGAGCTACAGATGAAGCGCACAGCGATTGAGGCTTTCAACGAGACCATCAAGATCTTCGAAGAGCAGGGCCAGACGCAGGAGAAGTGCAGCAAGGAGTATCTAGAGCGCTTCCGGCGTGAGGGCAACGAGAAGGAGATGCAGAGGTGAGTCCGACCTGGCACAGTGCAGGCAGGGAAAGGGAGGAAACGGAGAGGGACAGCCGGCGTTCCTTCCCGGGGGGAAAAGGGTGGTCAGTTGTAGTGGGCTTTGCAGGATGAATAGGAGTTCGCCGGAAAGAGAGATCAGAGGAAACAGCACGTGTACAGGCTTAGAGACTGGAAGTGCACACAGGCTGGCACCAAGTAGGTCCCCAGGAAAACCCCCGGGGGCCACGCGAGGCCTCTGAGCTGCCCTCCCTCCCTCCCCGCAGGATCCTGCTGAACTCGGAGCGGCTCAAGTCCCGCATCGCGGAGATCCACGAGAGCCGCACGAAGCTGGAGCAGCAGCTGCGGGCTCAGGCCTCGGACAACCGGGAGATCGACAAGCGCATGAACAGCCTCAAGCCGGACCTCATGCAGCTGCGCAAGATCCGCGACCAGTACCTCGTGTGAGTGGCCACGCGGCCCCCGGCCCCTCCGCCGCCAGCCGGGCCGGGTCAGCCTCAGCTGACCGGTGTGGACGCCTGCTGAGCCGGCCGCAGCCTGGGCGCCAATCCCGCAGCGAGCCTCCTGGGACGCGCGCCGGGCTGCGCTGAGCAGCGCATCTGCGTTGGCTGCTCCAGCGCCTTCTGAGTCTTTCGAAGTTTGTCCTTTACAGCTCGGGAAACTGAGGCATGGAGCAGACAGCTGCCCTGTGCAGAGGCCAGCAGGGCCGTGCAGCCCGCAGGACTGGGCCCCCGGGGAAAGCAAGGCCTTGGCCCGGCTGGCGCACTCGGGGGCGGGGTCGTTAAGCGTTAGCAGAGGCAGAGAACCGGGGCGCAGGGCGGGGTCCCTGGCACAGGGTGGGAAGCCAGCCCTGGTCCCTAGGCCGGCCAGGTCACGATTGCCCCCTTGTGGCCACCAGGGGTATGGCGCCCAGAGCGCGCTCCTGGGGCAGCCCCCGCGTCCCCGTGGGCTGGGCGGCGCGAGCCCACCTTCCCTCTCCCGCCCAGGTGGCTCACCCAGAAAGGCGCCCGGCAGAAGAAAATCAACGAGTGGCTGGGGATCAAAAACGAGACTGAGGAGTGAGTGACCGCCTTGAGGGAGGCAGGGAGGGCTTCTCCGAGGAGGGGGCCATTTGGGGCGGGTTTTGAAGAACGCGTAGGAGTTTGCCACAGAGGGAGAGTTGTCCAGGCAGTTGGGGGGGGTGTGGGGGACCCTCAGATGCTGGCAGTGAGTGACCAGGCGTCCCCCCACGCGCCCCGCAGCCAGTACTCGCTCATGGAGGACGAGGACGACCTCCCGCACCACGAGGAGCGCACGTGGTACGTGGGCAAGATCAACCGCACGCAGGCGGAGGAGATGCTGAGCGGCAAGCGGGACGGCACCTTCCTCATCCGCGAGAGCAGCCAGCGCGGCTGCTACGCCTGCTCCGTGGTGTGAGTGCCGGCGGCTGGGGGCGGGCCCGCGTCCCTTCCGGAGCTCTCCGTGAGCGCATGCGCCAGGCCTGGGGAGGCGGCGGCGGCGAGGAGGGACCGTCGGGGCAGGCGAGGGGGCGGCCGCCTGACCTGCCCTCTCGCCGGCCCCCAGGGTGGACGGCGACACCAAGCACTGCGTCATCTACCGCACGGCCACCGGCTTCGGCTTCGCGGAGCCCTACAACCTGTACGGGTCGCTCAAGGAGCTGGTGCTGCACTACCAGCACGCGTCGCTCGTGCAGCACAACGACGCGCTCACCGTCACCCTCGCGCACCCCGTGCGCGCCCCGGGCCCCGGCCCGCCGCCCGCCGCCCGCTGAGCGCGGGGCAACCCGCGGACGCCCGGGCCAGGACAGACCGGCGGGTGGCGCGCCCGCCCGGCCCTCTTCCCGGTTCCCAGCGCGCCCCTCCCCGCCTCTCCGCCCTCGCTCTGTCCCCGCCTGTCCCTGTCCCGCGTCCCCGCGTCGGGGGTCCTGCCTGCCCCTCGCCCTGGGCGCTGCCCTCCGCGCGCCCCAGCCACGCGCCCCTCTGCCCTGCGCGCGACAGGCCCGGGCCGGGAAGCCCCTCCGGCCGCGCGGCCGTGTTTACACAGCGCCCCGGGCTGCGCCCCGCCTGCGCCGCCCGATTTTTAAGCCATAGACCCGGGGCCGGGGCAGGAAGGGGCTTCCCCCGCCGCTTCCAAGAACCCTGGCCGTGACGTTCGGGGCTGGGCGGGACCTGCCCCCACGGACCCCAACTTCCCCTGCAAACCCAGAAGTGAAACCTGCTGCCGACCGGTCCCCGCGACGACGGGGCCGCCGCGAGACGCCCCCGCGCCACGGAAAGGCCACCGCGAAAAACGGCCGGCGCCGCCCGCGCTCCCGGCGGGCGCGGACTCGGGGCTCCGCCGCGATCATGTTGGGTTTTGATTTTCCTTTCCCTTGACTGCGAAACCCTCCCTCCTCTCCCCTCTTTTGGGACAAGAGCCCTGGTTTTCTACGCCGCCCTCGGGCCACCACGCCGCCTGCCCGGCCCGGCCGGGGGGCGGCTTTTGTACGGTACGTTGTTACGGATATAAAACCTCCAACACGGTGGCTGGCTCTGTCGTGGGTGGCGGGGCCTCGCGGGGCGGGGGCCCTGGCGGCTGCCGGGTCACAGCGGGCCAGGCTGGGCCTTGACCCCAGGGCGCCCGCCGGGCCCAAGGACTCCACCCGCCCCGCCCGCTCCGCTTGCCCTAGAAGTGGAAGGGGCCCGCCCCAGGTCGCCCAGCAGGGAGATTTGAGCTCTGACCTCCGGCCCTGCACCCTAGCCTGCTCCGGGGACCCCCGGACCCCGACCTGACTCCCTTGAGGGCTTCCGGGCCTCCACCCTGGGCCTCCCCTGCCCCGCCAGGTTTCAATCCTGTTGCAGCCACCAGCAGTGATCTCTGTGATCCGTGGCTTCCCCCATGCCACCCAGAGGGGTCCCCAGAGAGCCAGCATCGCCTCTGGGGTTTGAGGCCCTTCCGGACCCCTCCCTGCACACGGCCCCAGCGCTGGCCTGCCAGGTCCCTGGGGGCTGCTGGGGCGCCGCCAGGCTGCTACCGGTGGGGGGAGGGGACGGCAGCCCGTGTGGCATCTAGCCACGCTCAGCCAGCCAGCCGCTGTGTGTCCTTGGCAAATTAGCCTCCCCTCTCTGATCAGCCACTTCCTCATTAGCAAGAGGGCTCAGTCGTCCCTGCCCCCACTGGACGCTTCTGAGAATCGAGTGACAAAACGGGTCTGGGGCCCAACCTGCGCCTGGCACAAAGGCGGGACAGCCATCAGTTGTGAGGTCACGTTTCCGATTCCTTCCCACAGGGCTGGTGCTTAGTGACCGCTGGAAAAATTGTGGCATTTATATTTATTGTGATGTCCCCACTGGGCCCAGCAAGCAAGGACCGGGAGACTTGGGGGGAGGAAAAGGGCTTTGCTGTGAAGGGCTTGGCCCGCTGAGGGACGGGGTGGGGGTTCAGCCGGCCGCTGGCTCCCAGCCCTGCTGCTGTGCGTGTGGACACGTCCTAGCTGGCCCCCCCAGAACTGGAGGGCGACTCAGGCTGCAGGGCTGGGGGCTCAGCTCTGCCTCCCAGCCAGGTTCGGGGCGTTTCCTCCTGCGGGATCCGGTCCCGGGTCCCCCGCCCTGCCTCTGAGACCGGCCAAGTCTGGGCGTCTCGTGGGCCCCCCGGCACCTGCAGCCTCACCCAGCCCTTTCGGGAGCCGCCCTCCCTGCAGGGCTGCTGCCTGCGTGGGCACCCCCAGGTGCCCCCCAACACCCAGCTGGGGGACCGTCCCCCTGCCTCTGAGCCCTCCGTGGCGGCTGTGCCTCCCAGCCTCACTGTTCTGCCCATTATTCAGAAGGGGAGACTGAGGCTCCACCTCTTGACCCCAGCAGAGTCCAGAGTCAAACTGGGGGGCCCAGCTGGCTCCAGCCGGACTGTTCCCCCTTGTGGCTGGCACAGGCTCCCTTCTCTCCCCGAATGGGACTCCTCCGGTTGTCAGGATGGCCGAGACCCCCCACCACCACCAGCCTCGGACCTTGGAGAGAAGGAACCGGCTGGCCTCGCCCCGCCCGGGTGGGGCCCCCAGAGCAGCGAGGCCCCCCCACCCCTGCCGGCTTCTGCTTTCCGGCCCAGCTGCGCCCCGCCTGAGTCAGCCCGGGGGACAGGACGGTGGGGCGGGGAGCCTGAGGGGGAGGGGCAAGGGCGCGTCCCGTGCCTGCCGCGTGACGGTGGCCCCCAGGCCAGCCGGACGCAGGGACCCCTGCCCACCTGCAGGCAGGGCATCGCCCCGCCGAGCGCCGGCCCCAGCCCAGAGAGCGTCCCCAAGGCTGGGGACCAGGGCCAGCAGCACCCTAGGCGCCCCGAGAGTGTCGCGGGCGCTCGGAGGTGCCCGTTCCTCCTGGCCTCCCCGCGGCTCTGGCCCCCGGGCCCCGCTGCCCGGAGCCGCGCGTGACCGGCGGGGCTGCCTGCGGGAAGGCGGAGGGGCGTCGAGGGTGCGGGGCGGCGTCGGCGCCTGGCGGGCTCGGCTTGGAGAGGGAGACGTGGAGAGGAAGGCCGAGGTCCCCCGAGGGGCGGACAGGGACGCGGGGGCGTGGGCACAGGGGGGCGGGCCCAGCGCGGGGCCGGGCCACCGCGCGGTTAAAGGCGGCTCGATCTCCCGCAGCGGCTCCCCCTGCCACACGCGTCCGTCCCGCCGCCGGGATGGCCCTGTCGCCGCTCCTGCCGCCCCTGCTGCTGCTGCTGCTGCTGCTGGCGGAGCCCGCGGCCGCGCGGGCGTCCCCCGTGGAGCGCAGGCCGGGCGCCTGCAAGGTAGGGCGGCACCGCGACCCCTCCGCGCCCCGCAGGCTCCACGGGGGACAGTCGGGGCCCCAGGGGCGGGACGCTGTCCGGGCTGGTGCGGAAACCCCCTCCCGCGGCCCGCGGCCGGGCTGTCCTTTCGCTTTCTCGCCCCGCGTCGGGCACGCAGCGGCCCCCGCGCGCCGCCAGGGCTCAGTGAGCGCCGGCTGTGTACCGCCCGGCCAGAGCTGCGGCCCTCAGGGACGCGGCCAACGACGCGCCCGGGACCCGGGACGCTGGCGCCTGGCTCCGGAGACACCGCTGGCCGCCTGCCCCGCGCGGCTGAAGCCGGAAGTCAGCACGTATTAGGCGCCACCTCTGTTCATTCGGAGAGGGTCACATGGGTCCCAGGAGATGGTAAAGAATAAAGGAGTCTGCCAGGCGCGGCGGCTCACGCCTGTCATCCCAGCACTCTGGGAGGCCGAGGCGGGAGGTCGCCCTCGAGGCTCGCCGCCCAGGAGTTCGAGACCAGCCCTGAGCAAGAGCGAGACCCCGTCTCTACTATAAATAGAAAAGAAATTAATTGGCCAACTGATATATATATAAAAATTAGCCGCGGCATGCGTGGCGCGTGCCTGTAGTCCCAGCTACTCGGGAGGCTGAGGCAGGAGGATCGCTTGAGCCCAGGAGTCTGAGGTTGCTGTGAGCCGAGGGCTGACGCCACGGCACTCACTCTAGCCTGGGCGACAGAGCGAGACTGTCCAAAAAAAAAAAAAAAAGAACAAAGGAGCCCACAGGGGCATAGGGCCTTGCTCACCTGGGGGCCAAGGTTCTGGGCGGGTGAGGTGGCAAGAAGTGCGCGTGCTCATATGAGGCTCCTGTGGTATGTGCCTCCCCGAGAAGGCAACGACCAGGAATGCGCATTCCTTGGGCCCTTACTGTATGCAGTCCTTCTGGGAGAGGAATTTCACCTGACCTGGAGGAAAGGAAAGACTGTGCATACATTAAACGCCTGCTGTTTGCGAGAGTGTGTGCCGGGGCCCTTTTGCTGCCACGCTGGGGTTTAGGAAGGTTTAGGGACGCAGAAAGGCCTCGGGGCGAGGAGTCCGCTGGTACAGTCTGGAAGGAGTGCAAGGTGAAGCGCCCTACTGTTTGCGGCTCCCTTTCTGGAAGAATTCTGAGTGGGGCCCAGAGAGAGGAGGGCGCTGGGCCTGGGGGGTACTGGGGGCCGCCTGCCTCACGCCCCCGCCCGCCCCGCCCTGCAGACGGGCGAGCTGTGCCTGCAGTCCCCCGCCAGGACGGCCCTCGCGGCGCCTCGTCGAGCCGTGACCCTCTAGCTACGGAGGCCGCTCAATGCCAACGGCTGCCGGTACTTCCTGGTGCGAGAGCTCTTCCCAACGTGGCACCCAGTCGTCCCCGGAGGAGACTCCTCACAACGTCTCCCTGGTGATGCCCTAACGAGAAACGCTCAGGTGCGCGGGCGGGGGGGGAAACTGAGGCACGAGGGCGGGGGGGGAACTGAGCACGCGGGTGGGGGGCGAAATGAGCACGCGGGCGGGGGGAAATGAGGCACGCGGGCGGGGGGAAACTGAGGCACGCGGGCGGGGGGAGGGGAAACTGAGGCACGCGGCGGCGGCCGGCCCTCACAGCGCCCACTTTGCAGGAGAGGAACGTCAGCGGCCGGTGGGAGTTCCAGTGTCAGCACGGGGAGCAGGAGTGCCGGCTCAACAAGGTGGAGGTGAGACTCCCCAGGGCCGGGTTTGGGGACACCGCCCGCCTCGGTCCCCACCTCCCGTCCCGCCACTTAACCCGCCCGTCCCCCTCGGCGCCCAGGCCTGCCTGCTGGACAAGCTGGACGCGGAGGCGGCCTTCCTGACCATCGTCTGCGTGGAGCAGCTGGATGACATGGAAAAAAATCTCAAACCCGTAAGCGGCGCCCCCCTTCTGGACTGAGAGGGGGACAGGGGCCTTCCCCAGCCCTGGCCCTGCCCGCCCCTGTCTGCACAGCCTCGGGGAGACAGCCTCCCACCCCCCCAAGCCTCCCCTCTGAATCGGGGGGACGCAGGCCTCCAGGGGGGAAGGGGCGGGCAGGAGTGGATCTGGGAGGACTTCTCGGAAGAGGCATCTGTGAGCTGGGTGTGGAAGGATGACCAGGAATGCACAGGGACACGGATGAAGGGCTGTGGGCAGGATAGCACGGGCCCCCACCTACTTCCCTGGGGGGGGGATTGTGAAAATTAACTCCTTAAGGACTGAGTCACCTGCCGCGATCGTTTATTCATTCATCAAACATGTGGGCCGCCTAAGAGGAGTCACTCACGGACACCCCGAGCCCTGCAGGGCCGGGCGGGGGCAGGTCAGGGAGGGCGCTGAGCAGACACTGGGTGTGGGGGTTGGAAGGGTGTTCCTGGCCGAAGGAAGGGCAGGTGTGCAGGCTCTGAGGACCGCGTGGAGCTGGGAGGCCGCAGGTCTGGCCCTGAAGGGCAGGGCGCGGGGCTGGGGGGCCGCGGCAGCCGAGCCCCCACCGCGGGGCTGTGCCCAGTGAGGAAACGGGCTGGGCTCCGGGCTGCGGGGGGGACCGTTAGGTGATAACAGGGAGGAAGCTGAGGCAACAGCCCGGCCTCCCCCACCCCACCCAGTGCCTCGAGCTCTACGCCCCAGCCGTGTCGCCCGCCGCCATCCTGGAGTGCGCCACCGGGGACCGCGGCACGGAGCTGATGCACGCCAACGCCCAGCGCACGGACGCCCTGCAGCCGCCGCACACCTACGTGCCCTGGGTCGTCGTCAACGGGGTAGGAGCCCGCAGCCCGCAGCTGTCAGCGCGCCGGGCCGGGGCGGGGCTGGGAGGTGGAGGGGGCCGCGCGCGGGGCCCTTTCCGGGCGGGGACGGGATCGGTGCGCGGTCGGGAGGGGCGGTGTGACCTCCCGCCTTGCTCGCGCAGGCAGTCTTGGAAGACCCCAGCCAGCTGCTGGCCGCCGTCTGCCGGCTGTACGAGGTGAGCCGGGCGGCGGGCGGGCGCAGAGGGGGCGTCGGGCGGGCGCAGAGGGGGCGGCGGGCGGGCGCAGAGGGGGCGTCGGGCGGGCGCAGAGGGGGCGGCGGGCGGGCGCAGAGGGGCCGTCGGGCGGGCGCAGAGGGGGCATCGGGCGGGCGCAGAGGGGGCGGCGGGCGGGCGCAGAGGGGCAGTCGGGCGGGCGCAGAGGGGGCGTCGGGAGGGCGCAGAGGGGCCGTCGGGTGGGCGCAGAGGGGGCGTCGGGAAGGCGCAGAGGGGCCGGCGGGCGTGCTTCCAGGACTGACAGCGACGCCCTGCTGTGCTCGTCCCCTGCAGGGCGAGAAGCCGGATATCTGCAGGCCCCTGTCGAGGTCGCGAAGGCAGGTCTGCTTCAAGTGAGGCCGCCGCCCGGAGGAGGCGGCGGCTGCTGCAGGGAGACGGACAGCCCGGCCGCCGCCCGTCTGTGGCGCCCGCCCTCAGCTGCCACCGCGCCACCCCGTGACCTCGTGCGCCCTCGGACGCCCCGCTGGAAAGCAGCGCTGCCCCAGGCAGCATCTGGCCTCACCGGGAAAGGCATTAAAAGGAAGCATCTGCTAAACCCGCGTGTGTGGCTCCTTCCCGCGCCGGCTCACACAGCCCCTCGCCAGAGGGGCAGCCTGGTGCCGCAAGGGCCCGGGTCTCCTCCTTGCCCCGTTTGGGACTTCCCTGGAAGGCTCATATAAAGAAACCTGAACCAGGCCAGGCGCGGCGGCTCACGCCTGTCATCCCGGCACTCTGGGAGGCTGAGGCGGGAGGGTCGGTCAAGGTCGGGAGTTCGAGACCAGCGAGACCCCCGTCTCTACTAAAAATAGAAAGGAATTAATTGGCCAACTAAAAATATATAGAAAAAATTAGCCAGGCATGGTGGCGCATGCCTGTCGTCCCAGCTACTCGGGAGGCTGAGGCAGGAGGATCGCTTGAGCCCAGGAGTCTGAGGTTGCTGTGAGCGAGGCTGACGCCACGGCACTCACTCTAGCCTGGGCAACAGAGTGAGACTCTGTCTCAAAAAAATAAAAAAAAAATTAAAAGAAACTTGAATTAGGCCGGGCATGGTGCCTCTCATCTGTCATCCTGATACTCTGGGAGGCCGAGGCAGGAGGATGGCAAAAGGTCAGGAGTTCAAGATCAGCCTGAGCAAGATCAAGTCCCCGTCTCTATTAAAAAAAAAAAAAAACAGAAAGAAATTAGCTGGCCAAGTATAAATATATAGAAAAAATCAGCCAGGCATGTCGGCGGGTGCCTGTAGTCCCAGCTACTCGGGAGGCTGAGGCAGGAGGATCGCTTGAGCCCAGGAGTCTGAGGTTGCTGTGAGCGAGGCTGACGCCACGGCACTCGCTCTAGCCTGGGCGACAAAGCGAGACTCTGTCTCAAAAAAAAAAAAAAAAGCCAATGAAGCAGAGTTCCTTTACAAATTAACTTCAGCAGTGCCATCGGGAAGCAGAAAATGTTACATGCATATTTTTCACTTGCCTTCAGTTCCCACCAGGGCTCCGAGAACACGGTTTCATGTTAGCTTGGGAGAGACAGCCTTGAAATCGTTCCTATCAGACCCGGGACAGCAGCCACCATCTAGGCCGACTTCGGACCATAGTAGAGCTCCTTAAAAAAAAAAAAGAAAAAAAAATCCTTACCAATATTTCATTATCAGTTTTCAGCCAGCCAGGATAAACAGTACATTTTCCTTTTCTTTTTCCTGTTTTTCTTTTTTTTTAGAATCAAAAATACACCTATTCCAGGTGACTCAGAGCCAAAAGCAATAATCCTTTCGATATACCTAAGCACAGGCCCCAGCGGTGCCCCCGAACACAAACGGTGCAGCCCTCCCAAGCTTCAGAGCCACTTCCAAAGATAGGCGATGGAAATACAGAAATGAAAACTCTAACCGGAGGCCGGGCGCGGAGGCTCACGCCTGTCATCCCAGCACTCTGGGAGGCCGAGGCGGGCGGATTGCTGGAGGTCAGGAGTTCGAGACCAGCCTGAGCAAGAGCGAGACCCCGTCTCTACTAAAAATAGAAAGAAGTTAACTAGCAAACTAAAAATATACAGAAAAAATAAGCCGGGCATGGTGGCGCGTGCCTGTAGTCCCAGCTACTCGGGAGGCTGAGGCAGGAGGATCGCTTGAGCCCAGGAGTCGGAGGTTGCTGTGAGCGAGGCTGACGCCACGGCACTCACTCTAGCCTGGGCAACAAAGCGAGACTCTTTCTCAAAAAAAAAACAACAAAAAACCCAAAGTGGCATGTATGGGGGGTGACACGTCCTGAACTTCTTCAACAGAGAGGTAGGAAATCACGGGTCCAGAGGTCAACAGCTGTTCTTCCTGACGGGCGGTAAACTCCTAATGGATCCTGCAGTGTCCCTCAGCCAGCACCCAGTAATCCACCTAATCCGGTGCAGGTTACGGGAGGGTCAGATTAATGTTCACCGGAGTTGCGGAGGCGGCTGTGTTCAGCCGAGCTCCCGCTGGGCGCACGAGCCAGCGGAACGCTCCCTTAGGGTCAGCAGAAAGCCCTAAAGGGCGTCCTCGAACAGGGCAGCGTTTGTTCGTGCAGGGCCGTACATAGTGAATAGCGCAGTTCTTGCAGGCCACTGCCTGGGCACGACTGCGTGCCAGTAAAACCTTACATATATATACACGAACATTTGAATTCCATACCATTTTCACATGTCACAGAATGTTATTTCAATCTCTTTTTTTGAGACAGAGTCTCGCTCTGTTGCCCAGGCTAGAGTGAGTGCCGTGGCGTCAGCCTCGCTCACAGCACCGCAACTCCGGGTCAAGCGATCCTCCTGCCTCAGCCTCCCGAGTAGCTGGGACTACAGGCATGCGCCACCGTGCCCGGCTCATGTATATATATTAGTTGGCCAATTAATTTCTTCCTATTTATAGTAGAGACGGGGTCTCGCCCTTGCTCTGGCTGGTCTGGAACTCCTGAGGTCAAATGATCCTCCCGCCTCGGCCTCCCAGAGAGCTAGGATCACAGGCGTGAGCCACCGAGCCCCGGCCTTTTTTTTTTTTTTTTGAGATAGAGTCTCGCTCTGTCACCCAGGCTAGAGTGCCGTGGTGTCAACCTAGCTCACGGCAAACTCCAACTCCTGGGTGTCAGGTCCAGAACAGAGAGAGGCCTCAAGTGTAGCAAAATGCTGTTTTATTTTGAGCATCTGAGCTCAGAGGGGTGGAGGCCAAAGAGTTCACCGCGAGGGAGGGGACAGCCTTGAGTTTTACAGAGGGTTTTTCTGGGGCAAGTGAGCACCACAGGCAGAGATAGCGGTGCTAGGTAGTAGCTTCACCCTTATGGGGGGGGATACGGATGCAAGCCGCAGCTGTGTGATCTGTGAGATTTACAACTTGGGGGCTCTCCAGACTCCTGAGGCTGTTGTTTTACAAGCCTAAGTTTTCCATTAACCGCATTCCATCCTGTACAGACTTTTCAAGTCCCCACCAGGAGCAAACCTAACACTGGCCTCAAGAGATCCTCCAGCCTCAGCCTCCCAAGTAGCCGGAATTACAGGCATGCGCCAGCCACCATGCCCGGACGATTTTTTTCTATTTTTAGTTGCCCAGCTTAATTTTTTCTATCGTTATTAGAGACAGGGCCTTGATCTTGCTCAGGCTGGTCTCAAACTCCTGAGCTCAAGCAATCCTTCCTCCTACATCGGTCTCCCAGAGTGCTAGGATGACAGGTGTGAGCCACCGCGCCCAGTCCTGGCTAGTTTTTGGGTACTGTTTTCTGAGCCCAAACAATTACATTGTTTTATTTTCAGTCAGAGCCTCACTTTGTTACCGGGACTCCTAGAGTGGCATGGCGTCAGCAACCTCCAACTCCTGGGCTCAAGCGATCCTCCTGCCTCAGCCTCCCAAGTAGCTGAAACTACCGGCGTGGGCCACCATGCCAGGCTCATTTTTTCTATATATTTTTTTAATTGTCCAGGTAATTTCTATTTTTAGTAGAGACGTGGTCTCGCTCTTGCTCAGGATGGTCTTGAACTCCTGAACCCCTGACCTTGATAGATCCTCCCACCTGGGCCTCCCAGAGGGCTAGGATTACATGCGTGAGCCACCACACCCTCCTAACAATTACATTTTAAATGAGGATATAATTGTTGTTGCAACAGCAGGAAGTTGCTGGGGAATTAGTTGATGCTCAGAATGGGCCCAGAAGGGTGCCTGATGTTTGGATTGTTATTCATCGGGAACCGAGGTCAGAGGACCAGCTATGGGCAGGACCCAGACCAAGGTCAGGGCCAAGGTCAAGTGAGGTCAGAGGACCAGCTAAGAGCAGGACCCAGTCCAAGGTGAGGGTCAAGGTCAAGTGAGGTCAGAGGACCAGCTAAAGGCAGGACCCAGACCAAGGTGAGGGTCAAGGTCAAGTGAGGTCAGAGGACCAGCTAAAGGCAGGACCCAGACCAAGGTCAGGGCGAAGGTCAAGTGAGGTCAGAGGACCAGCTGAAGGCAGGACCAAGGCCAAGGTCAGGGCCAAGGTCTACGTCTGGACCACGCGGAACCGTGGCCGCCCCCGCATCCCGATTTCCTTGAGTCTCTGCAGAATTGGGCCCCGCCTCAGCAGCCGTCAAGGCCACAGGTCCGAGCCCTTCTCGTCCATTCCAGCAGCACCTGGGAATCTGGAGGGCAACCAGACCAGAATGCGCGACAAGCGTCCCTCCCCACGCGGGAGGCGGGACGCAGGTCAGTGATTGGCCAGCCTGACGGCGGCCTGGGAGTGGCCAATACAGTGCCGGGCTTGCAAGCAGAAGGATGTTGCCACGGTTTCCCATAGGCCAGCACAGAAAGGGGCGGGGAAACAAGCCTGCAACGGAACCAATTGGCATCGTGACGTCATGCAGCTCTTATTTGCCATTGGTCGGTGAGAGGCGGGTGTGGCTGACAGAGACATGTCTGATTGGCAGACGCAGGAGAGGGGGAAGGCATTGTGGGCTCGGCACTGACTCGCGATTGGTCGGTGTGCCGAGGGCGGGCATTGTGGGCTCGGCGCTGACTCGCGATTGGTCCGCGTGGCGGGGGCGGGCATTGTGGGCTCGGCGCTGACTCGCGATTGGTCCGCGCGGCGGGGGCGGGCATTGTGGGCTCGGCGCTGACTCGCGATTGGCCCGCGAGGCGGGGGCGGGCATTGTGGGCTCGGCGCTGACTCGCTATTGGTCGGCGCGGCGGGGGCGGAGCGGCGCGCGGGCTCCTGGGTTCCGGGTCTCCCGCTGGCGATGGCGCCCGGCGGCCTGCGCTGGCTGCGCGGCCTGTGGATGACGGGGCAGCCTCTGTTCCAGGGCCGTGCGCTGCTCGTCACCAACACGCTGGGCTGCGGCGCGCTCATGGCGGCCGGGGACGGCGCGCGCCAGTCCTGGGAGATCCGCGCCCGGCCTGGCCAGAAGTTCGACCCGCGGCGCTCCGGTGAGGCTGCCGCGCGGCCGGCCCTTGACCCCGGCGACCTTTGACCCTGACCCCCAGTGGGGCGCTCCCCAGAGCAGACCCCGCGGGCCGCGACCCCGTCCCGGGGCCCCGACGGCCCTCCCCGGCTCCCGGTGCCCCCACGCCCCTGGGGGCGGCTTGGGACGGGGGTGGCCGGGCCCTGACTCTCCCTCCGCCCGCAGCGAGCATGTTCGCGGTGGGCTGCAGCATGGGCCCCTTCCTGCACTACTGGTACCTGTGGCTGGACCGCCTGCTGCCCGCGTCTGGCCTCCAGGGCCTCCCCAGCATCCTCAAGAAGGTCCTGGTGGACCAGCTCGTAGCCTCTCCCATGCTGGGCGTCTGGTACTTCTTGGGTAAGGAGCCCCGTCACCCGAGCTTCGCCCCTCCTGGGCGGGCGGGCGGGGCCGGCTTTGTGTTCCAAAGGATGCACAGATACATTTTTTCTCTTTCTTTCTTCCTTCCTTTCTTTCTTCCTTCCTTCCTTCCTTTTCTCTTTCTTCCTTCCTTCCTTTTCTCTTTCTTTCTTCCTTCCTTTCTTCCTTTCTTCCTTCCTTCCTTCCTTTTCTCTTTCTTTCTTCCTTCCTTTCTTCCTTTCTTCCTTCCTTCCTTCCTTTTCTTTCTTCCTTCCTTTCTTCCTTTCTTTCTTCCTTTCTTCCTTCCTTTCTTCCTTCCTTTCTTCCTTTCTTTCTTCCTTTCTTTCTTCCTTTCTTTCTTCCTTTCTTTTCTTTCTTTCTTTCTTTCTTTCTTTCTTTCTTTCTTTCTTTCTTTCTTTCTTTCTTTTATTCCTTTTCTTTCTTTTTTTTCTTTCTTTTCTTTTCTTTTCTTTCTGAGACAAAGTCTCACTCTGTTGCCCGGCCTAGAATGCCTTGGCATCAGCCGAGCTCACAGCAACCTCCACCTCCCGGGCTCAGGCGATCCTCCTGCCTCAGCCTCCCCAGTAGCTGGGACTACAGGCATGCGCCACCATGCCCGGCTAGTTTTTTGTATATATTTTTATTTTTATTTATTTATTTTTGAGACAGAGTCTCGCTTTGTTGCCCAGGCTAGAGTGAGTGCCCTGGCATCAGCCTCGCTCATAACAACCTCCAACTCCTGGGCTCAAGCCATCCTCCTGCCTCAGCCTCCCGAGTAGCTGGGACTACAGGCATGCGCCACCAGGCCCAGCTCTTTTTTTCTATATATATTAGTTGGCCAATTAATTTCTTCCTATTTATAGTAGAGACGGGGTCTCACTCTTGCTCAGGGTGGTCTTGAACTCCTGACCTTGAGCGATCTGCCTGCCTTGGTCTCCTAGAGTGCTGGGATTACGGGCGGGCGTGAGCCACCGCGCCCGGCAAGAAATACATTTCTCATGTGCCTCTTGTGTGGGTGGCCCTGGACTGGGGGCTCGGTTACCGCGGTGACAGGACAGATGCACCCTGACCTCAGGGAGCGATGGGGGCTGGTGTGAATGGTGTGGAGTGGAGGAAGTATGAGAACAGTGTGATGGGGCTGCCCTGGGTGGGAGGTTAGGAGAGCTCCCCAAAGGAGGGGACGTTCGGCTGAGAGGTAAAGAAGGAGCAGGCAGGCGGGGGAATGGCCTGTGCAAAGGCCCTGAGGCCTGGTGGAGGAGGGGCTGGGGTTGAGGCACCTGCCAGCCTTTGGGGACTCTCAGCTCCGTTCCCACCCCGGGGCCCAGCTTCCTAGTCTGTAATGGAGAAGTAGTAAAACAGCCTCCACTTAAGGGTGTGTCTCCTTGCTTCAGGGCAGGTGTTTATATGTTAATATTTATAACCTCTCTCCCTCAAAGGGCCTGGCTTGTTCTGTGCTTTTCCCTCCATCCAGCAGCTGCCCATTTGAACTTCCTGGTCCCTCTGCCCAGGATGCTCTGTCCTTTGGTCCTGTCGCTGCCCTCCACCGTCGGGCCATCTTGCCATCTCCGCAGTACTTCCTGGCCCTGACTCTCACCCTCTCCTTTCCTTCCCAGGCCTCGGCTGCCTGGAAGGCCAGACGCTGGGTGTCTGCTGCCAGGAGCTGCAGGACAAATTCTGGGAATTCTACAAGGTGGGAGCCCCGCCCCATCCGCCCGCCCTGGCCCCTCCCCCGCAGGCCCGGCCCCGCCCCTCACCCCTCTCTGGCCCCGCCCCCGCAGGCCGACTGGTGCGTGTGGCCCGCTGCGCAGCTGGTGAACTTCCTCTTCGTGCCCCCCCAGTTCCGAGTCACGTACATCAATGGCATGACGCTGGGCTGGGACACATACCTGTCCTACCTGAAGTACCGGGTGAGCGCAGTGGGTGGACCAGGCACCCAGGGGGTTCCTAGGGGGGCCCACGAGGGAGCTCCAGAGGGCGGTAGTGCCCACCTGGAGCACGAGGGTCTCACGTGCCCCTGGCGACCCAGGACGGGCGGTGGGGAGCCCATCTCTAAGCGGTCGAAACCCGGCCCATCTCCGCCGCCCAAGGCGCCCTCAGCCAGGGCCCTGGGGTTCCTGCCACATGGGGCCAGCCCGTCCGAGCGCGGGCAGAGGAGGGTTTGGCTAGGTAGGAGGAACGCGGAAGGATGAACCGGGATCTCTCGTGTGGACAGAACCCCGGCCTGTGACAGCCCCCGCCTGCGTGGCCCTGGACACGCGAGAGGACTGGGCTGCCGTTCCCGCGACCCGATGCCAGAGCGAAGCTGAGCCCCGGCTGGCTAACGCCCCGCCCCGCCCACTGGGGTCGGGCTCCTGCGGCGGCAAGACCCTGGGCCGAGTCCCGGCCCCACCGACTCCTGAGCATCTGGCCGAGTAGTCCCTTCCAGGCTGGGGCTCAGTTTCCCCATCGGGAACACCACCGCAAAGACAGGCCACCATCCGCAGCCCTTCTCAGCCGGAGCCTCGAGCGACCTGTGACCGAGATGTCCTGTCTGCAGCACGGAGCCCACCCAGCCCGCCAGCCCGCCCCAAGCACCGAGCCCTCAACCCCCGGCCAGCCGGCGCCAGCTTCCTCGGGCCCTGGGACCCAGGCAGGGACGGGCCTGGAGTCAGCCCCCAAAGCGTCAGGCAGCACCCAGCCGCCTCTAGGCCTCCTCCTGTGGCCGAGGACCGCGCAAACGCCATTAAATTCCGTGTAAGCGACTAGGCCGGCGTGGGCGGGGCTGGCGCTCACGGGACGCGGCTCGGTCCATTCGCTTTATTGGGTGTGTGCGGTGTTGTCACGACATCTCCTAGGGGGCTGGAGGGCACGCTAGACACGCGTGAGGTCGGAGCGGGGCGGGTGTGGGGGTGTAGGGTGGCGAGCGCCCGCGGCACCCCGCCACCAAGAGAAAACGTGGGGGGAGGGGAGCCGGCGGCCGGACTCTGACCCCTGCGGTCCACACGGAGACCCCGGCCCGCCCGGCACCCTGTGGGCCGCCCTGGGTGTCACGTGGCCCCTCTTCACAACCAACTGTGGATAGGGGTGAATTAAAAAAAAAAGAAAGTGGGGTGTCGGGAGGGTGGGCAGTGAGTTCGGGGGGGCCACGCCACGGCATAGTGGGGACAGGGGCGTATGTACAGGGTGGGCAGGGGGCCCGGGCCCCGGGGGACGTCTTCAATAAATAAATAAATAGCTACGATAATAAATTAGGGTGACGGGCTAAGTCGGGGGCGGGGGCTCGTGCCCGTGGCTGGTGGTGGGGGGGGCTCAGCACGCGCAGTCCTGGTGCGGGGGCGCCTGCTGGTCGCTGAGCTGCGGGCCCTGCTTGGCGCCCGTGACGGCGGGGTCCGCGGTGTCCAGAGACTCGGACATCTTCTCGCAGATCACGTCCACCAGGCGCTCGAAGGTCTGTTTGACGTTGATGTTGTCCTTGGCACTCGCCTCGAAGAACTCGAACCCTGCCGCGGGGAGGGGGGTGTGAGGACCCCGGCTGCCCTGCCCCAGAGGCTTTCCCGAGGAAAGGGGAGCACCCCATGCCACCGGCAGGCCCACTGGAGGCACTGACAAGTCCCGCTTTGAACTGGGTCAGCCCTACATTTCCGGCCCTTGTCTTTCCCTTAAAGCTGTCTGCTTCTCACTGCCCCGCCAAGACCCCCCGCCCGGTCCAGCCCCAGACACTGGCCCCGGGGGCCTCCGACACTCAGACCCATCTGTGCCTGCCCTCCCTCCCTCCTCACACACCCTCCATGGCTCCCTATTGCCCTGGGAAGAGTTCCGGCTTCTAAGCACGTGGCCGAGGGCCTGCATGTGGGCCACAGGTTCTCCCAGGTGGCGCGCATGTTCCAGCCATGTAAATAGGACTATTGCCAAAACACACAGCAGCTTTCTTACCTCTGGTCTTCGCCCAGGCTGTTTCTTCTGCCTGGACGAGCCTTCAAGCACCACATCCATCGGCCCTGCCCTCCCGGAAGCCTGCCTTGCCCCATGGACTTCCCCAGCCCAGGTCCCTCCCTTCACAAGGCTAACTGCTCTCAGGGGCCAGCGACACCCAGTGCAGGACGGCGAGGGTATCAGATTGAATCGTTAACCTTCCTCACAGTGAACTCCTACACATCCCTCAAGACCCACCTCAAATGGCCCCTGGATCAACACCAGTTTGCAAAAAGTGCAGACTGCCCACATTTGAATCCGGGCCCTGTCGTGGTTTTGCTTTGAGACCCTGGCTGTGTCCCCTACCCTTTGAGCATCTCCGCATCCTTCTTCTTCTAGCCTTGCGGGTCTGCAGTCCCGCTGGGCACTCACCAAGGTGGTCAGCCAGCTGCCGGCCACGTTCCGACGACACCACCCTCTCGTCTTCCATGTCACACTTGTTCCCCACTAGCAGCACCTGGGCGTTGTCCCACGAGTAGGTCTTGATCTGGGTGGACCTGCGGGAGGCGGCAACAGGGCAGGGTAGGGCTTGGGGAGTCCGAGCTCCGTGTCCCCAGGCTGGTCCAGGGCCTGTCCCCTAGGGATAAGGGACAGGGAAGACCCTGGCCCACCACCCTCCCGTCCCCCTCGCTGGGCCCACTGCAGCCCTCCTCTCCTCCTCATTCTCTCTCTCTTTTTTTTTTTTTTTTATTTTCTTTTTTGCAACCTAACCAGTTGTATGGGGACGTAACCTCCTCATTCTCTAAACATGGCAGGCTCATCTTTCCTCATGGGCTGTGACCTGCCAGGGTCAGGCTTTCCTCACCCCAAGCAATCCTCCCCGGAAGCCACAGCCTCCTGCGTTTCCCAGGAATTCCATATATATATATATATATATATTTTTTTTTTTTTTTTTTTTTTTTTTTTTTAAGAGAGAGCCTTGCTCTGGACTGCAGTGGCACGATCACAGCTCACTACAACCTTGAACTCCTGGGCTCGGGCGACCTCCCCTCTTCAGCCTCTGGAGTAGCTGGGACTACAGGCGTGCACCACTGCACCCAGCTATTTTTTTTTTTTTTCAGTAGAGACAAGGTCTCGCTGTGTTGCCCAGGCTGGTCTCGCACTCCTGACCTCAGCCTCCCAACACGGTAGCATTAGAGGCATGAGCCATCGTGCCCGGCCTCTCAAATACTCTTTCCTCCTTCTGGGTGTTTGCTCCAGAAGTTTCCTGCTCTCGAAAGCCCCTCTTTTCAAGCAGCCTCTCCCACCCTTCCCAGATGCCCCTCCCAGAAAGAATAATTGTTCCCTCTTTAGCAAACACAAAAGTTTTCTTAAAATCTACCGTTACTTCCGGGCAGGACATTGAAATCTTTTTTTTTTTTTTTGAGACAGAGTCTCGCTTTGTTGCCCAGGCTAGAGTGAGTGCCGTGGCGTCAGCCTCGCTCACAGCAACCTCACACTCCTGGGCTCAAGCGATCCTCCTGCCTCAGCCTCCCGAGTAACTGGGACTACTGGCATGCGCCACCATGCCTGGCTGATATTTTTAAATATATATTAGTTGGCCAATTAATTTCTTTCTATTTATAGTAGAGACGGGGTCTCGCTCTTGCTCAGGCTGGTCTCAAACTCCTGACCTCCAGCGATCCGCCCGCCTCGGCCTCCCAGAGTGCTGGGAGGACATTGAAATCTTTCTAACCTCCAACCTGTGCAATCTGTCCTCATCGGTTTTGTCCCCGACTGCCCCCACGAGAAGCCACCGAACGGTGTCTCCCTATATGCGAACAGTTTCATTTTTGCATCTGAACTCATGTTTTCCCATCTTCCTCTTCTGCACGAGCCCGGCCGGGGTGGTGGGAGGGCGGGGGCTCACCAGTCCTGCACGGCGTTGAAGGACTCCTCGTTGGTGATGTCGTACATGAGGATGAAGCCCATGGCGCCCCGGTAGTAGGCCGTGGTGATGGTGCGGTAACGCTCCTGCCCCGCCGTGTCCTAGGGCAGGAGAGACGGCCGTCAGGGAGGACCGCGTGAGCTGCTCAGAGCGGAACGAGCTCGGAGACGGTCCTGCGCAGCCACAGCGAGACCCGGAGAGGGGCGGGAGCCTGCCCAGGGCCACAAAGGGTCGGGAGGAGCAGGCGGGGCCGCCTGCGTGCAGACCCCATCGGCGCTCCCCGTTACCTGCAGAATCCTTCTCTCATTCATTCCACACACAGGTACGTTCGGGGCACCGACCGGCGCCACGCCCCGCGCTGGGGACACGGCTGTGAACCGAACAGCCAGAAATCCCCACCCTCGTGGAAGTCACAGCCCCGAACAGGAAACAGGCAACAGCCACGCAAATGTGCCGTGTTGCATGGAGGGTGACAAGCCCTCGGGAGGACAATCAAGCCGGGCGAGGATGCAGAGTATCAGAGTCGCTGGAGCACCTGAAGGCGGCCCGTGTGAGGGCCGGCGGGCAGGGCACAGCCGGCGCAAAGGCCCTGGGGCAGGGCTGTGCACGGTGTGCCCGAGGGACAGTGAGTGAGCTGAGCAGGAGTCGGAGGAAGACCGATGACTGGGGTGAAGGTGCCAGCGGGGCACTGACCAGGCGGGTTTCCCCGGCTGGGAGAGGGGCGTGGGTTTTACCCCGAGAGTGAGGTGGGAGCCACAGGAGGGCAGCGGGCAGAGAAGGGACAGTTCTAATCTGGGAATAACAGGCTCGGGCAGGCCTCTGCCGGGTTGGGGAGGAGGCAGGGAGACCCTGGGGGGGGGTGTGGCCAGGGGGGGCACCTGCATTTGTCCCAAGCAGTAAGATCCCAGCTGGAACCTCACACACAGAGCCTCGAATGGAAGAACTTGAAGATGGAGGAAACTGAGGCACTGAGCTTAGGTGCTGATGGGGGGCAGGGGTGCTCTCCATACTTCTCCTCCCTGGCACACAGCAGGCGCCTAATAAATGCCCGGCGTGTAAATGGGTGGCTCTGGCCAGGAAAGAGGCAGAAACAGTTGGGGCAGCTTCTCCAAGGAGGGGAGGCGGACCCACCCAGATCTGCAGCTTGATCCTCTTGTCGTTGCGGTAGATGGTCTTGACCTTGAAGTCGATGCCCACGGTGCTGACGAAGGCGGGCGTGAAGGAGTCGTCTGCGTAGCGGAAGAGGAAGGACGTCTTGCCCACGCTGCTGTTGCCGATGATGAGGATCTTGAACATGTAGTCGAAGTTCTGGTCCGAGGACTCCTTCTGCCCGTAGCGAGAGTCTGTGGCAGACGCCATCTGGGGGTGCGGGGACAGGAGAGCGTGAGGGGCCCCCGTTCGTCCGTGAAGGCGCAGGCCCAGGCGCAGGGTGCAGAGCGTGCCAGAAGGGAGCCCGTGCCTGGAGACCCCCCTGTCCCGCCAGCCCCAGGATTAAGGGCGGGCCGTGACCTTGAGAGGCGGGAGACTTCAGGGGACGGAGACGCCCCTCCAGCAGGCCTGCACCCCAGCTCTGGCTGTAACCCTAAACGTACGGCTGCGCCCGCCGGAGGAGGGGACTGTGGCGGGCCCCGCCCCCCATCAATCTTTCATGGTCCTCGGCCGGCTCCGAGCACACGCGAGTCCCGTCCCGTCCCGTCCCGCGGGGATGCGCGCCTGCAGCCTCCCGTTCCCCGGAACCCCAGGGCCGGGACCACGCGGCCGCGTCACGAGACAGGGCTGCGGGGCGCACACGCTCGCGTGCACCGGCCTCGCACACTCCTCTCCACGCGCGTGCGCGCGCGCACACCCTCCGGGGGGGCACAGGCGCGGACACCTGTCTGCACGCCGGCCCTCCTTTAGAAACGTGCAAGCCCACCTGTGAATGGCCCGTGGGCACGGCTCCCTCCGCCCTCGCGTGTGCACGTCACGGACACGGACCCCCGTGCACGCGTGCACAGCGCTGTGCGCGCACCCACGCAGCCCAGGCGCCGCCCTCCGCAAGCGTGGAGCACGCACACACTCAGGCCCCGGCGGGGGGGGGGTTTGTGGGGGGTCACACGAGTGTACCCAGGCACGCGAGCAAGGGCACACACAGACCTGCTGACACAGGCGGGCGCGCACACGCGTGTGCACTTCACGCGCGCGCGCACGCAGAGGCCTCCCGCAAGGCACCCGCCTCCCCTCCCCCTCCGCCGCAGAGCCCGGGGGTTGGAGGGGTAGCAGGGGGGAGGACAGGGCAGGCGGGGGGCGCCCGGGCCCGACCCCTCCCCGGGCCGGCCGCGGCCGCGTCCTCCCCCGCGTGCGTCCCCTGCCAGCCGGGTCCCCGCCGCCGCCGGCCCCTCGGCAGTCGGATGAAGGTTATGCAGGCGCTCGCAGCGCGGGCTCGCCGGCCGCCCGGGAGCTCACCTTGCCCTGCGCCAATGCAACGGCGACCCTGGCGGCGGCTGTTCCGGCGGCGGCGGCGGCGGCGACACGGGTCCCGGTGCGCCGGTGTGGGCTGCACGGCAGCGGCGGCGGCGGCGGCGGCGGATCAGGCCCCTGCAGTCCTCGGTGACGTCCTGCAAAGGGCGGGGCGGGGCCTCGCATGCAGATAGGGCCGTGACGCCACGCGGAGGCGGGGCCGCGCGCAGGGCCGCGGCCAGTGGCGCACGCGGAGCCGGGAGGGGCGGGGCCCCCGCGGAGATTGACGCGCCGACGGGGCGTGGCCTGGCGTGCGCATCCAATAGGGACGCGAGCGGCTCTGGCGCTGGCTCCGCCTCCCGCCTGCCTCGGGGAGGCGGGGCTGCCCGGCGTCCTCTCACTGGCTCCGGCGTTTGAGCGACGGTCCCACTCACCAATGAGCGGCCGTCTGCTCCTTCCTCCCGTCCAATGGCGGCTCCCGGGCGGTGGAAGGGCCGAGAGGCCGAGGCCTTGGCCGAGCCCGGGTCTTGGAGGGGCGGTTCCCTTCCGCGCCCACCCGGGACTGCTGCGGCCACCGCGGTCCGCTGCGAGGTGCTGTGACCTCTCGCTTAATGCCCCGGGAAAGAGGCACTGGAGCCCGAGCCGTTCCGCTGCCCCGCATTGATGGCGTGCAAAATAAGCACAAAGGAAGAAAAAGGCCGTGCGGGCTTAGATGCCCCCGTGCATCGCCCGGGGCGTGAGACCCCAGCCAGGGGGTGGCGGGGACGCACCCCTCCCCTGCTCCTGAGGGCCGCCCGCCCGACCAGGTCCCCCAAAAGAAGGAAGGGGCTGTTTGCTCCCGGCGCCTGCAGAGGAAGACGGGAAGGGATGGCGAAGCTGGGGCAGAGGAACCTGTCCCCTACGTCTGCAAATGACCTGGGAACCCGGGGTGCGTGGGGAGGGGGCGTCCGAGCGAGGCAGCCATCCTCGTGGTGCTCAGGGTCAAAGTCCCCGGAGGGAGGGGGAGGGGGCCTGGGAGACCCCCCCACATCCTGCGGAAGCGAGACCTGGAGAACGGGGACTTTAGGGGCTAAGATGCTCCGTGGTTTATTTCCCCAAATCTTAAGGGGAAGGAAAAGTCAAAAACGGGGCGGGGGTGAGGAGCCCCAAGACACCGCGGCCCCCCACTCGGGGTCTTCAAACCCCGCAGGGGGTGTAGGGCCCCCCCCTCCCAGGAGAGTCCCGAGCCCCTTGAGGCCCCGCCCGGAGCCAGGGTTACGGATGTGGGGGGACCCAGCCCCACCCTGCGCCGCGCCGCGAGGCCGGGCTGCGGAAGTGGGGGGGCTCGTCCTGTTTATAAAAAGCTCGCCAGCTGCGGAGGCGCCGGGAGACCAGAATAACTTCGCGCCTCGCCGCCCGGCCCCCGCCGCCCCCGCCCGCAGCCGCCTCCGGAGCCCGCGCGGACCGACGGCCCCCCCCCCGCCCGCCGCGTGCACTGGGGACATTAATTTCTTTCTACGGGTCACGTCTTTGCCCTCCTCCCCGACTGGGACTGTTAAAGTATCACGGCTCCACTGCGGAGAATTGGGAACAACATTCAGAAAAACGAAAAATAAATAAAAATAAATCCACATCCCATTCTTCCCCCTGCCCGCCCTGCCCTCCGCGCCCAGGCTCGGCCAGCAGGCAAATCCTGGTGCAGACCCGGCCCCTGGTGCAGACCCGGCCTCTGGTGCAGACCCCGGCCCCTGGTGCAGACCCCGGCCCCTGGTGCAGGCCCGGCCCCTGGTGCAGACCCGGCCCCTGGTGCAGGCCCGGCCCCTGGTGCAGACCCGGCCCCTGGTGCAGGCCCGGCCCCTGGTGCAGACCCCGGCCCCTGGTGCAGACCCCGGCCCCTGGTGCAGGCCCGGCCTCTGGTGCAGACCCGGCCCCTGGTGCAGACCCCGGCCCCTGGTGCAGACCCCGGCCCCTGGTGCAGGCCCGGCCTCTGGTGCAGACCCGGCCTCTGGTGCAGGCCCGGCCCCAGGGCCGCGGAGGCGGGGACGTGAGAGGACTCGCTCCCTGAGCTCCCAAACGCGGGCTTCATACGTGGGTGGCTGTGATCACAGACGTGAGCCACCGCACCAGCTGACTTTGAATTTTAAAATCAAAATAATGCAAGGCCTTTATGGTTAAGAACAGGAGCTGGGGCAGTGGCTCACGCCTGCAGTCTCAGCATTTTGAGAGGCCCAGGCAGGAGGATCACTAGAGCCCAGGAGTTTGAGACTAGCCTGGGCGACACAGCAAGACCCGATCTCTACAAAAAAAAGTTTTTTAATTAGCCGGGCGCAGTGGCGCATGCCTGTAGTCCCATCGACTCGGAGGCTGAGGTAGGAGGATCGTTCCAGCCCAGGAGTTGGAGGTTGCTGTGAGCGAGGCTGACGCCACAGCACTCTAGCCAGGGCAACAGAGTGAGACTGTGTCTCAAAAACCCAAATAAATACATATAAAATTAAAAATAAATAAATAAAACCAAGAATCAGTGGCCGGGCGAGGTGGCTCACGCTTGTCATCCCAGCACTCTGGGAGGCCGAGACGAGAGGATCGCTCGAGGTCAAGAGTTTGAGACCACCCTGAGCAAGAACGAGACCCCGTCTCTACTACTAAAAATAGAAAGAAATTAATTAGCCAACTAAAAATATATAGAAAAAATGAGCCGGGCATGGTGGCGCATGCCTGTGGTCCCAGCTACTCCGGAGGCTGAGGCAGGAGGATCGCTTGAGCCCAGGAGTGTGAGGTTGCTGTGAGCGAGGCTGATGCCACGGCATCTCACTCTAGCTGGCAAAAAGCGAGACCTGTCTCAAAAAAAAAAAAAAGACAGCCAGCGCTGGGCTCTGGAATTGGGGGCAGTTGAGTCAGGGGAGGGAAACAGAGGCCGTGGCAGAAGGGGCTGGGCTCTCAGGCCCCCAACCCCCCCAGGTCCGGCCCCACTTGAAGGAAAGCCTGACCCAGATTCGCCTTGCTGGCTTCCTTTTCTCCTTGCTGTTCCAGGTGCCACCATTGTCCCCAAGGCCTTAACCTGCGGTGCCCGCTGCCCTGAGCACCGTTTCCGGCTCTCCCTGAACCGGCTGTCTCATCCCCTTCGGTCTTTAACCACCGCTCAGCTCCTTCGGAGATCGGAGATCGCAAGTTAGGCCTGGCACCTTCATCGCCCTGTTTCTCCCTCCGGACACCCCATCAGAATCCACGGTGTTGGCTTTTTTTTTTTTTTCTTGAGACAGAGTCTCACTCTGCTGCCCAGGCTAGAGTGAGTGCCGTGGCGTCAGCCTCGCTCACAGCAACCTCAGACTCCTGGGCTCAAGCGATCCTCCTGCCTCAGCCTCCCCAGTAGCTGGGACTTACAGGCATGCGCCACCATGCCCGGCTCATTTTTTCTATGTATTTTTAGTTGTTCAGCTAATTTCTTTCTATTTTTAGTAGAGACGGGGTCTCGCTCTTGCTCAGGCTGGTTTTGAACTCCCGACCTCCAGTGATCCTCCTGCCTCGGCCTCCCAGAGAGCTGGGATGACAGGCGTGAGCCACCGCGCCCGGCCGGGACTTGTTGAACTTGGCAAAGGCCGTCTCTGGGGGCCACTCGGGACAGGTAGGTGGGCCATGCAAGTCTGGCCTGGCCTCTGGGGCACAGGCTCTGGAGAAGGTGGTGACACGGCTCAAAGCATCCCACCCAGCCCCAAGAGCTTCCCCTGGGGCCGGCCTCTGGCGGAGCCTCAGGGACGATTTCTTGGGGGAGAAGACGCCAAAGGGAAACCCAAAGGGTGCGGATGGGGGTGGGAGCCGAGCATTCCAGCTGGCTGGGCAGAGCCTGTGCAAAGGCCCTGGGGTGGGCCTGGCTCGCAGTGCGGCGGCCAGAGCAGGCAGGCTGCGGCCAGCTACTGGGCAGAGAGGAACGTCTGTGGCCACCACCTCAGGGGAACGTAACTAGTGTTCTTATAAACCCGTGCAGAGGCCGGGCGCGGGGGCTCACGCCTGTCATCCCAGCACTCTGGGATGCCGAGGCGGGAGGATCGCTCGAGGTCAGGAGTTCGAGACCAGCCTGAGCAAGAGCCAGACCCCAGTCTCTACTAAAAATAGAAACAAATTGATTGGCCAACTAAAAACACATATAAAAAAATGAGCCGGGCGTGGTGGCGCATGCCTGTAGTCCCAGCTACTCGGGAGGCTGAGGCAGGAGGATCGCTTGAGCCCAGGAGTCTGAGGTTGCTGTGAGCGAGGCTGACCCCGCGGCACTCTAGTAGTCCCGGCAACAGAGTGAGACTCTGTCTCTAAATAAATAAACCCGTGGAGAGAAAAACCGGAGAGAAATGAGTGGAGACACGGGAGGCAGAGCCCTGAGGGTGGGGTTCCAACAGGATTTTATTTCCTTCTCTGCGCGTTTCCGTTTCCGCTATTCCCAGATTCTCTACCGCAACGGGGCATTACTTTGTTAAGTAAGGAGACTGGGGCAAAAAAAAAAATCCAAGTAAACATTTCCTAAAGCTCTACCTTTTAAAAGTCTGCAGGGAAATGCTCGGAGCTCATGGCGCCCGGTGGCTTTTGGGTGTGGGTCACCGCGGACTGTCGCCGCGGACGGTGATGAGGTGACCGGGCGGCGGGTGAAGCGCGCGGACCGCACCGGGGTCTTCAGGCGCGAGCAGAAGGCGAGGGGAGGCGGGGGTCGAACTCGAGGCTTGAGCCTGGCGCTGCACCTGACCCCGCTCCCGCCGCCTTCGCCGCCGGGGGAGGGGTTGCGGGCGCTGCTAGCTAATATTCTGCCTTGAGCTGGCAAGAGGACCCCTCTGCGCCTCAGTTTCCCCCTCCGCGACATGGGCGGGATGCTAATCCGGGGTAACCGGGCGTCTTAAGACCGGAAGGGTTGACGTAACCCCCAGAGAAATGCCCAACGCCCCCGAAGTTCTGAGCTGCTCCACTCCCCAGCCAGAGTCTATCCAGGTAGGAGGATCAAAGAGGGGAAACTGAGGCCCGGAAGGGATTAGGATGCTTGCAAAGATTAAAAAAAGCGTCAGGGGGCTCCCTCCCTCCCTGTAGGGGGAGACCGAGGCAGCTTCGGGAAGGAGGAGACCTGGAGGGGGGGGGATTTTGTGCTTTTGTGGGGCGGGTGCAGGGGCTGAACCAGTCTGTCCCTGCCCTCCCCACTGAGCTCCAGGTCCTGCATGATCGGCGCGGAGCTCTGGTGCTGAAACGCCCCCATCTGCGCCCCGCTTTCTTGCCGGCGTCTGCTAGCGGGGGCCGGGGGGCCCCTGCACCAGGCAGCCGGGGGGCGCGGAGCAGGCAGGGCCTGGCGCGCGGCAGACGCCCAGCAAATACCTGATACAGAGTGAAGGGATCGAGAGGTGCATGTGACCTAAGAGTGACCACCAGAGAAGGTGGGGGGGACACCTTGAAGGCAGAGACCTCTCCCCTCCGTGGCAGGGACAGAAGCGGGGGTGGGGGGATCCCAAGGGGGCTGCAAGAGGCTGCCCCCAGCCCAGCCCCTTAGAGAGCTCTGTCCGCCAAGCCTGGGGTCAGAGTGGACCCCGTCCAGGTGCGTCCAATTCGACCCTGAGACCTGTCTATGACTAAAAGCTTAGTGGGGCCGGGCGCGGTGGCTCACGCCTGTCATCCCAGCACTCTGGGAGGCCGAAGCGGGAGGATCGCTTGAGCCCAGGAGTTTGAGGTTGCTGTGAGCGAGGCTGACGTCAGGGCACTCACTCTAGCCTGGGCAACAGAGTGAGACTCTGTCTCTAAAAAGATAAAAAATACTAATTAAAAAAAAGGCTTAGTGGGTCCCTCAATGGGCGGGAAAGCAAAGCAGGGGTCGCCCGGGACCTCTTCCTCAAAGTCCACGCCCTGGGGACCATCTGGCCCTAAGTCCTGTGGCCGTCCGCGGGTAGGTCACTGGGCTTTTGGCTGGCTCCGGGGGACAGGAGCTTAGTGTCGCGTGACTCTGAGGCCTTGCTGTCTAACGCTGCCTCCTCCTCTTCCTCCGCCTCTTCCTCCGCCTCTTCCTCCGCCTCCTCCAGAGTCAGCTCAAACTGGAACCTGTCGGGGCCACCCCGCTCGGGGCTGCTGAGGTCCGGGGGGCTCCGCGGGATCTTGCTCAGGTACCACTCGCGGTTGTCTTCCAGCGTGTCCAGCAGGCCCTGGGCGTCCGGGTGCACCAGGTCAGCCCAGGTCTCCCACAGCGGGTGGGCGATGTAGTCGATGAATCCCACCTGCGGGGCGGGCGCGCGCCATGAGTGGGGGCGGAGCAGCGCCAACCCCGCCTCCGCCTCTCTGGCCCAGTCGCTCCCTCTGCCTGGAACGCCGTTTCCCAACTCCTACTCGTGCTTCAAAGCCCTCTTCAAATAACCCTTCCTCTAGGGGGCCTCCCTTCCCCCTTCTTGGCTCCCCGAACCCCAGCCCGGACACCACAGGGCTGAATGTGTGAGTCCCCTAGACGGGGCGGGGGGGTCCTCCGGCGTCTCACATCACTCTGAACCACACGTTCGAACCTGCCGGGGACGCAAAGTCCCTCTCCCCTACGGCCTGAGAGAGGGGGACCCGGCGCCAGCCACGAGGCGCACCGCCTTGCTAGCTAAGCCCAGGTCCTGACGGTGGTGGTTCGCCCGCGACAGTGCCACGAGGGCGCACCCTTGCTGGCCAGCCCAGGCCCTGAGAGAGAGGGGGCCCGCGCAGCCACGAGGGCGCACCCCCTTGCTAGCCAGCCCAGGTCTCTGGGGACTTTGGGGCGGGGCTCCGTCCCCCTCCCCCTGCCCCCTCCGCCTCCCGGTGCCTGGCCCCTGTGCACCTGGGATTCTCCACTCAGAGGCTGTGGAGTCTGTGTCGCACATGGGGCTGACGTCCAGGCCGGATGCGCGCTCCCGGTCGCCCTGCTGGAAGAGCTCGGCCATGATGCGCTCGGTCCAGCGGCGGTACAGGGGCAGCGGCTTGGCGGGGTTGCTCAGGTCCGCGCAGTGCACCAGGTTCTGCAGGACCTGAGGGAGGACAGGGCTCGCGAGGCGCCGGCCGCGCCCGGAACCCGTCCTCCCCCAATCTCATGGCGGGGAGGGGAAACTGAGGCAGGGGAGAAGCAGCAGCTATGGCACGGGCATGCGCCTCTCGCCGTCTCTTCAAGCTCGGTATACAGCCGGCACTTCATACGTGCAGCTGAGCGGGGGCCGCGCACCTGGATGCGGTCGGAGTAGTTGTCCAGGAGAAGCACCCCGAGGCTGGTCACCCTCTTGGTCTCCACCATGGTCTTCAGGTCAGCCAGGAGGTTCATGTGTTTGGACATGTCTGTGGCCAGCACCTGGGGACCGGCGGCAGGAGGGGACAGGCTCACGGGCACGGGGACTCTGTCCACACTGCACCCAGACCCCCGGCCCTCTGAGCCTCAGCGTCCCCATCCGTGCGGTGTGACGGGGACTTGGGCCTTCACGTGGAGGCCATGGGAGCCACAGCAGAGTTCGCAGCTGCGGAGGGACCTGACTTCCGCCGGGCCGTCGCGGCCCCGGGCTGGGGCTGCCATCAATACTTCCAGCCATTTGGAGGGAGGTTCAGCTCCAAACGCTGATGTTTAAAAACCCATGTGGGGGCCGGGGGCGGAGGGTCACGCCTGTCATCCCGGCAACTGGGGAGGCCGGGGCGGGAGGAATCACTCGTGGTTCAGGAGTTCAAAACCAGCCTGAGCATGAGTGAGACCCCGTCTCTACTAAAAATAGAAAGAAATTAGCTGAACAACTAAAAATACATAGAGAAAATTAGCCAGGCATGGTGGCACATGCCTGTAGTCCCAGCTACTCGGGAGGCTGAGGCAGGAGGATCGCTTGAGCCCAGGAGTCTGAGGTTGCTGTGAGCGAGGCTGACGCCACGGCACTCACTCTAGCCTGGCAACAGAGCAGACTCTTGTCTCAAAAAAAAAAGGCTTAGAAAAAGTTGCACCTGGACCTGGACACCGGGGGCCTCCCTGCCAACTGTGGCCGGGACCGCCCCATTTCACAGAAGGGGAGACTGAGGCTCCGAGTGGGGGCGCCGCCAGCCGCCCTGCCCGGGCCCCGCCGCGGGCCTCACCATGTCGATGACCATCTTGCGCAGGCTGAGCCGCTGGCGCGGGCTGAGGTTCTGGAAGATGTCGCAGTTCTCCGCCTGCAGCAGCTTGAAGCCCACGGCCAGGTGGTGGTTCTCCAGCACGGACGCGTCGTTGTACATCAGCGCCAGCTCCGAGTCTGCGGGCAGGCCGGGGCCTCGAGTCCCGCCCGCCGCCGGCCCGTGCTTTGGGGCGCCTTGGCGAACTCCTACCCGGACGTCGAAGGCCCCTCGGTAATGCCCGCTCCCCCCGAGGAGCCAGCCGTGTCCCCGGGGCCATGTCCAGGTACTCAGTGGGGGGAGGCGGCCGCGCCACATGCGGCTGAGCGGGTAGCGGGCGCTTCCTCTCCCCGCACTCTGGATTGGGCGAGGGGCTTCACTCCCACCCCCAGCGCCCCCGTGCTTGTACACAAAAGGCGCCCAATGATTGCTTCTCAGCTGAGTTTTTCGCACTCCTTAAAGGGTCCTTTTTTATTTTTTGAGACAGAGTCTCGCTCTGTTGTCCGGGCTAGAGTGAGTGCCGTGGCGTCAGCCTCGCTCACAGCAACCTCCGACTCCTGGGCTCAAGCGATCCTCCTGCCTCAGCCCTCCGAGTAGCTGGGACTACAGGCATGCGCCCACATGCCCGGCTAATTTTTCTCTACATAACATTAGTTGGCCAATCAATTTCTTTTATTTTTTTTGTAGGAGACGGGGTCTCGTCTTTGCTCAGGCTGGTCTCGAACTCCTGACCACGAGGGATCCTCCCGCCCCGGCCTCCCCGGGTGCCGGGATGACAGGCGTGAGCCGCCGCAGTGCCCGGCCCCGTAAAGGGTTCTAAACTTTGAGATCTTGGTGGACCCAGCTCAGTTCTGGCACGGCTTGCTATCCTCTCCCTTACTGAGCGCCGACTGTGTACGGGGCTCCCTGTGCACCCGAGGGGAGGGAGTCAGTCATGTCGCAGGTGGGAGTCGAGGCTGCGGCAGGGCGGGCGGGGACGGGGCCGCTCCCCACCCCACTGGGACTCACGGGTGTTGATGAGAAACTGGTTGGAGACGCCGGGGTGGTCCACGTCGTGGATGGCGCTGGCAAAGATGGTGGCCAGGACCTCCAGGTCTGTGAACACGGCCTAGCGGCGGGGGACAGTGGGGCGGGGGGGTACAGTGAGGCTGGGGGGGACAGTGAGGGCTGGGGGGGGAGGGACAGGTGAGGGCGGGACAGGGAGACGGGGACATGAGGCCGGGGGGTGGAAACAGTGGAGGCGGGGGGACAGTGGAGGTCGGAGGGGGGACAGTGAGGTGGGGGGGGAAGGGGCTGGGGGAGGACAGTGAGGCGAAGGGGACAGGGAGGACGGGACAGTTGAGGCCGGGGGGTGGAACAGTGGACGGCGGGGGGAGCAGTGAGGTCGGAGGGGGGGCAGTGAGGCCTGGGGGGGACGGAAACCGGGGGAAGTGAGGTTGGAGGGACAGTGAGGCCGGGAGGGAAGTGAGTCGGAGGGAAGGACAGTGGAGGCCGGGGACAGTGAGGTCGGGGAGGTGCGGGACAGTGAGGCCGGGGGCGGAAGTGAGCGGGGAGGCAGTGAGGCAGGGGAGACAGTGAGGCTGGGGGAAATGTTAGTGAGGTCAGGGGGGGCAGTGAGTCCCGAGGGGACAGTGGCCGGAGGGGGGGGACAGTGAGTCCGAGGAGGGGACAGTGAGGCCGGGGGGCGTGAGATCGGGGGGGACAGTGAGGCTGGTGGGGGGGGACAGTGAGCCCGGGGGGACAGTGAGGCCGGGGGAGGACAGGTCGGGGCCGGAGGGACAGTGGGCAGGGAACAGTTGGGCTTGAGGGGTGGGACAGGTGGGCCGGGAGGGGACAGTGAGGCCCATCGGGGGGGACGTGAGGCTTGTGGGGGGGGAACGTGGAGCCCAGGGGGAGAAGTGAGGTAGGGTGTGGGGGACAGTGGAGGCGGGACAGTGGGACCGGGGGAACGTTGGGGGGCGGGGGTGGACAGTGGGGCACGGAGGGGACAGTGATTGGCTCCTAAATATGGGGTGGACCATGTGATGCCCTGGGGTAGGACAGGTGTTGGCCAGGGGACAGTGGGCGGGACAGTGGAGGGCCGGGGGGACAGTAGGGGCCCGGGGGGGGACAGTGAGGCTAGGGAGGGACAGTGGGGCTGGGGGGACGTGGGCCAGGAGGGGACAGTGGGGCCGGGGAACAGGTTGGGCGGGTGACAGTGGGGGCGGGCGGGGGCGGTGAGGCCGGGGCGTGGACAGGTGGGCCGGGTGGGACAGTGAGGCGGGGGGTGGCACAGTTGAGGCTGGGTGGGACAGTGAGGGCCGGGGGGACAGTGGGCGGGGTGCGACAAGTGGGCGGAGGGGGACAGTGGGCCATTGGGGGGGACATTGGACTGTGGGGGGCAGTGAGCCCGGGGGGCGACAGTGGGCCGGGGTGGCAGTGGGGCCGAGGGGGACAGTAGAGGCATGGGGGGGACAGTGAGGCTGTTGGGACGTGAGCAGGGGGGAGACAGGTGAGGTAGGTGTGGGGACAGTGAGGTGGACAGTGGGGGCCAGGACAGGTGGCCAGACAGTGGGGCGGGGGGACAGTTGGGCCGGGGTGGACAGTGGGCCGGAGGACAGGTGAGCCATGGGGGGGACAGTGAGCCGGAGGGACAGTGGGGCAGGGGCAGGTTGGGGCGGGGCGTGGAGGCCGGGGGCGGACGTGGCCGGACAGTGAGGCTTAGGGGGGACTTGAGCTGGGGGGCTGTGGGGCCAGGGGGACAGTGGGGCGGACAGTTGAGGCTAGGGGACAGTGGGGCAGGGGACAGTGGGGCGGGGGACAGTGAGGCCAGGGAGACAGTGGGGCGGTGGTACCATGGGCCCGGGGGGACAGTGAGGGGCGAGTGGGGGGAAATTTAGGCCGGGCTCCCGCGCTCCGCCGCCCCACCACGTGGCACCTCGAGGGCGGGTGTGGCGAGCAGGACGTGGGCGGACTGGGCCACGTCGGCGGCGTGCAGGCTGTTGTGGTAGGCCACGTCCGCGTGGTAGTGACCCTCCAGCGTGAGCAGGTAGGTGGCCAGCGTGTCTGCTGGGATCTGGAATGTCTTGAGCAGGTCCCGCTCCTGGCCCCCCACGGGCCCCTGGTCAGGGCCTCGGCCTTGGGGCTGCAGCGCACGCCGCTGCCCCTGCCTCTCTCTCCTGAACCCCCATCCACCTCTCAAACGCCCCCTCCTCCGGGATGACCTCCCTGCTCTCGCGATTTTCCCTCAGTCCTGACCCCACGGGACTCGGGGGTGTCTTTGCCCAGCTCTTCCCTCCAGACTGGGTCTCTTCAGGGCCAGGCCCAGGGCTGAGGCTTGTTGACGACGAGCTGGTCAACCTAGCGAACTCCTATTCATCCTTCAACACCCTGCTCAAATTACCCCGTTCGGGGGTGTTGGACAGAATTTGAAAAATGAGCTTCCCTGGGGTCTTGAGGTAGGAAGGGGTAAAGGAAAGCCCAGGTGGACTGGAAGCCAAGGGCGGGGGCGGGTACCTGAAAGATGCTGAATATGATGGCTGTGAGTGGCCGGTTCCCGCTGAGCTCCGCCACCTTGAACACATCGAGCCCCCACTTGTTGGTGTCTTCCAGCTCCTGGAGGGGGAAGGGCTGGGGCTCACCTGCACCTGCCGCGCCGAGCCCCAGCGCCCAGCCCGGCAAACTGAGGCCCCGGGACAGGACGACAGGACAGCCACCCAGAGCCCGGGGCTCGGCCTTGCGGCTGGGGACCCACCTTGGCCAGCTGCCCCTCCTGGTCCGTCTGGACCCCGAAACGGGGGACGGTGGCTGGGGAGAGGCTGGCGCCGCGGCGGGGCCCACGCAAGCCGCTGATCCGGGACATGGGCCCCGCGGGCTCCTCCGAGGTCGCCCTGGGCAACTCCACCTCGGCCGGCTGGTCTGCGGGGCAGGGTGAGGCTCGGAGCTCAGAGGAGCCAGCTTGCTCTCGGGGTCGTCCCGCCTGGCCCCCCAGGACCGACCTATCTTCCTCTTCTGCTCGGCCTGGCCCTCGGGCACCGGGGACCCAAGAGCATTTGCCCCCCAGACAGCCTGGCGTCCTTTCCACCTCCCGCACTGGCGTCTGGTTCCATCTCCTCCTTGGCAAACTTCTACTCGTGCTTCAAAACCTTAGCTTTAATGTCCCCTCCTCCTGGAAGTTTCCCTTGTTCCTGCCTCCAATCCACCCTTCATGCATGGGGCTAGGGGTGTCCATGTCCGGCCCTGTCTCCCCCAAGACTCATTGCCCCCTCCTGGAGATGGGGGGCGAGGCGAGGCATGGGGGCTCTTGGGGGGCGGGGCCGAGTGGGCGAGGCCTGAGGGGCTTTGGGATGGGGCCAGGGGCGGGGCTGCCGGGTGGCCAGCCGCGGGGCAGGTGAAGGGGGGGGGGGAGCTTGCCGGGTGGGGCTGAGGGGTTTTAGGGGTGGCCAGTGGGCGGTGCTGGTGGTCAAGGGCTGAAGGCTTGGGGGCAGGGCTGGGGTGAGGCCTGGGGGAGCTTGGGAGGGGCCTGGTGGGCGGGGCGAGGCCGGGTGGCGAGGCGCTGAGGGGCTTGGGCAGGGCAGGTGGTAGGGCCAGGTGCGTGGGGGTGGGTTGGGTGGGCAGGGGGGCGGGGCGGGGCAGGTGAAGGGGGCGCTTGGGGGCGAGGCCAGGTGGGCCGGCCAGGTGGGGGTGGTGCCATGTGGGCGGTGCTGGGTGCGGCGGGCAGGGCGGGCCGGGTGGGCGAGGCCTGAGGGCTTGGGGGCGGGGCCGGGTGGGCGGGGTGAGGCTGGTAGGCGGGGTGAGGCTGGGTGGGCAGGCCTGAGGGGCTTGGGGGCGGGCCGGGTGGCGGGTGAGGCCTGGTAGGCGGGGTGAGGCTGGGTGGGCGAGGCTGAGGGCTTGGGGCCGGGGCGGCCGCCTGAGCCTCAGGTACCCCAGGCAGGCGCCGGCTGCGGACCCTGCGCACGCTGCACCACAAGTACGGCACCCCCCCCTCCCCCCCCCTCCAGGGACGCGGCCACCTCCCCCTATAGCGGCCTCGCCCCACCCTCGAGTCCCCAAAGCTGCGGCTGACTGGGCCTGCCCGCCGGCCCCGGAAGGGCCCCAGGGGCTGAGGCTCACCGCTACCCGGGCGGAAGGCTCCGGCGGCGCAGGGACAGACAGAGACCCGCCCACGGCCACGAGCAGCCGCGCCCGGGGACAGGTCCGGAACTGGGGGTCCTGGGGTCCAGCGGGAAGCTCAGGGTCCGGGCGCAGAGACGGAGGCGCGAAGGCACAGGCGCCCCCAGCGGGGCCGGGCCGGCCCTGACCAGCTCGCCTCCCAGAGGGGCGCGGGCCCGCGCGGCGCTGGAGACGCTGGCCGAGCTGGACTGGTGCCTGGACCAGCTGGAGACGCTGCAAGCGCGGCACTCGGTGGGCGCGATGGCTCCAGCAAGGTGAGGGCCGCGCGGCCCGCCGCCCCGCCGTCGCCGTGGCCCGGCCTCACCCCCGCGCCTCCCGCCTCCCCCAGTTCAAGAGATGCTCAGCCGGGAGTGACCCACCCTCTGAAACCAGCCGCTCCGGAACCAGGTCGTCGAGTACATCTCCCGCACCTCCTGGGTGAGCCGTGTGTGTCGCGTTGCCTGGGCAACGTCACAGAGGTAGCGGGACGGGGAGAGAGAGAAAGACTTCTGTTTCAGAGGCTGATAATGGGGTAATTTGATCAGGGTATTGAAGGATGAATAGGAGTCCACCGGCTTAAACAGTTCGCTGGTCAAGCAAGCCTCAGGGCCCTGGGCCTGGCCCTGAAAGACCCAGTCTGGAGAGAAACAGCTGGACAAAGACAGCCCCAGTCCCGTGGGGGTCAGGACTGAGGGAGTCAGAAAGAGAGCAGGGAGGTGTCCCAGACAG